GTGGCCCGTGAGTGAAGGCAGTGGTGCAGAGCGGGCACTGGCAGCCGAGTGCCGAAGTGGCCGAGTCTCCATCTGCTCCCTGCGCATGGGTCTCAGGCTGCCCCGTGCCAGCCTTTCTCTCCCACAGTGCACTGCACTCCACAGGAAGTCTGCTGGGCCTGGATGGCCTGGGGTGCTGGCCAGTCCCCAAGGGCAGGCACTGCCACACAGTGGTCCAGAGGGGGAGCACCAGGCTACCAGGCCCCGCCTGCTGCATGGAACATGTCATTTCTAGTGTGCAACAAAACCCAAGCCAAGAGACCCCAAGGGGACCAGAGCTCACACACCTTGTCCAAAAACCCCTTCTCCAAACTAGTGTTGCTCCTGGGTCGTGGCTGGCTCTGTCACACACACACCGGGAGTGGTGGACCCCTGTCTTCCTGCCTCTGTGCAGGAAGAGACCCACTTCACACCCCTACCCGAGTCTACTCGTGGGCCATTTCCAGAAGAGGACAAAGAAATCTCCCACCAGGAGGCTGGAGGAAGAGCGAGGCTTTCCTTTCCTCCCATTTCCTTTCTGTCGGAGACCTCTTTCTGCCTTGGATGCGTGCAAGTTTTTCAACCCAAAGAGAAAAAGCTGTAAAAAAATGGGTCACATGATGCTTGGGTTGCATTTGATAGGCCGTCTGCAAGCTGCTTCCCTGGAACCGTGCTTTACAGCAAGGGCAGGAGGACACGGGGTGCCGGGGACCAGACTGCGCCCCGAGTTGACACAGGAGCGCCCTCCACAGCGTGAGGCCCCTGGAGGGGGAACTCAGGGAGGTTTACGTGAGGCCATCAGTGTGGGTCCTCATGATGGGGTTCATGGCTTTGAAGAACTATCAGAGAGCTCATGCTGAGGACGCAAACGCACCCCAGATGGTTTGGATCAAACCCCTGGTGTGGAGGGCGCCTGTGCTGTGCTGCGGAGGGGGTGGGTGTCGCTCCTCAGCTGAGTTCAGGCCTGAACCCACTGCGGAAGCAGGGCCTGGCTGGAGGGGTCACTGGGGCGTGTCCTGGACAGTGCATTCCTGCCCTAGCTGCCCCCTGCTCTGCTCCCTGTCCACCTCGGACTGAGGGGCTCCCCTCCGCCAGGCCCTTCCACTCTGTGCCTCTGCCCTGGAGCTGGCAACCGTGAGCTCTAATAACCCTCTCCTCCGCTCAGCCCTGAGTGTCCAGCATTTTGTCCCAACAACAGAAGTGACTGAGAGGTGTCAGCGTCCTGATGTCAGAATTCCTCGCTTCAAGACCTGTGAGCATAAATGTGTACTGTCTAAGCCACTAATCTGTGACATTCCACTGCGGCACCCTGGGTAGACCGAGGCTGCGCCTGCATCACAAGGTGGCCCGAGAGCCACTGGGCCCTCAGAGCACACGGTGCGGCCCACACTTGTCACGTATCACCCTGACCCCGGCAGGAGCTCCTGAGAGTGTCCACTGACGCTGCTGCAGGGACAGCTGTAACTGCTTCTGACTCTGGCCTTCTCCTCCCAGAGAGGCCAGCTCTTGCTACTGGCCGGGTCCCTTCTGCAGTGGACACATGAGGGGGCCGTGCCCTCGCCCGAGTCACCACACGCGCTTCCACCTCCTGACGGCCTGGCCGTCTGTCTGTCCCCTTTAGTCCTGCTTGTTTTTAACCGCTTTGATGGAAATGTTCAACTACACATGAAAGACGAGAAAGTGGTGAGCTGGAACCCTCGTGCCGGCCGTCAGCTCTGCTGTTGACCACCGTAAATCTTGCTTTAGGTCTACCCGCACTTCCTCCGCAGCCCTGGGTCCTGGGTTCGCTTTTTATTCTGAGTGCTGCGTCTCATAAACCCCCTCCTCTGAGTACACAGCTCGGTGGACTTAGCATCTTCACAGGGCAGACCGTAGGATTCCGGGGCAGCTGGCCGCCTGCTCTGTCGCTGAGTCAGCGACCTCGGCCCCTTGGGTCCTGGCGACTGGTCCTGTCTGTGTCACTGGTTGTTTTGAAACAAACCCCATCACCTGGTCGTGCCCGTAACCATGTCAGAGTGCGCCCCTAGCACCTGGCGGAGCTTCGCTGTGGTAAGGGGAGCCGCTGTCCTCAGCTGCTTTTCTTGAACCTCAGCGTGCGTCATTACACCCCGTCCCCTCCTCTCCTGATGATCTTCGTTCCAGGGCTGCCAGCCACAACAAATGGCCTGCATTTCCTGCGACTGTGGGGGACACCGAGTCTGAGCCACTCGGGCTGAGCTGCGGCCAGGGCACCCCTGGTGGGTGGCGGCATGTCCCGTGATAGCCCTGCACCCCAGTCTGTCTGGACACAGACCTGCTCTCTGAGGTCAGCGTCATCGGCAGTGGCCGCTCCCCGCAGCCTCTGCCAGGCCCAGCCGCAGTCAGTGCAGCTGGGTCCCCATGGTCCTAGGGCTTCAGGGGTGACGAGCTCACTCTCTTACTGTTTTGTTAGCTGACATTCGTGAAAACATGAGGACATTCCTTCAGCTCTGTACGCATCTCTGGGAGGTTGCGGGGGTTACTGCTGTTTTTGGAGACCGGGTCTCACTATGTTCTGCAAGCTGGCCTCGCCCTCACTCTGTAGCCTTGAATTCACAGAGACCCTCCTGCCTCCGCCTCTAAGGTGCTAGGATGCAGGTGTGGACTCCATGCCCGGCCCATGCGCTGAATGAGCAGATGGGGTCTTACTTAGCCTCCCCTGTTGCTTTTGGGCTGTGTGCAGGGCCCCAGTGTCCCATCCAAGGAGCATCCCCCAGAAGTGCCACAAGTGGGAATCAGGTTCTCAACACAGGGCCCTTCAGAGGCCACTCCAGACCTGGCCACGACGAGCACCTGCCACACACACCGGAGAGCAGGTGCCCAGGCATCTGGGTAATGAGCGAGTCCACATTCAGCCCTCTGGGTCTCCAAGGGCATGAGGGCTGTGGGTCACCGTGCCCAGGCCTGCAGAGGCCCAGTCCCTGTGCACAGCGCAGAGTTCGCTGCCGCCCTGTGTGTGTCCTCTGCATGGACCAAGCCACCTCTGCGTCGGGCTCCTTGCTTTGGGCTGGACTATGACAAGGACACAGTGCCTTGTGACGGTCACCGTCCCCATTAGTGTGGGCATCTTGGTGCGACCCTGCTGGCTGTGGGGCTGGGGCTGGTCCGGACCCAGGGTCAGGTGCACACACAGGGGTTGGTTCCGAGGCTCCTTGGTGTGGGGCTTGGTTTGGAGGACCAGGGCCAGGCCGAGAGTGGTGCTCTTGCCGCCTCCTGACACCCCGCAGGGCTCTCCCAGAGACAGCGCCTCCGAGGCACCGTCACACCCCCAGAGCTCGGGGCACACTTCAGCCCCAGAGCAGACGTGGCCTTTACCCTGGTGGCCGGTGTCAGTGGCTCTGTCACTTAGCCTGCTCCTGTCCCTCAGCTCCTGCCACCCGTGGCCCCGGTGCCTCCTCCTGGTACCTAGATCTGCCATCTGTACCCACCTCAGTTGCGTCCCTGGGCTTCGTCTCTTCAGTGCTTACATCCAATCAGTGCAGCGACTTAGCAGGGTGACAGGCTTCTCGGTGAAGGTGGACGGGGCTCACAGGACCCACCCCGCACACCCCGGCTCTCAGCAGGAGTGGTTCCCATTAGCTGAGCTCACTGTGAGGCCCTCGGGGAGCCTTCCTTAGCGCGGTGACTCACCCAGCTGCCAGTCTGCCCTGTAAGCACCCAGGCCCAGGGACCTCCCCGGCTTCTTGCAGAGCTGTGGCACCTAAATATTTCTAGGTAAGCAGTGACATGGCCACTGGCCACGGATCTGAGGGTGACACAGCAGGTCACCCTTCAGTCACTCAAGAACAGCAGCCCTGTGACCGTTGCCCAGTCAGTGGCCCACGGAAGGCCCAGATGAGTTCCCAAAGTATTTCTGCGTTTATGCCTCTTGCCCTGCAAGGGATCCATGGTGCCCACATACAAACTGACACTCACTCAAGAGCCAGGTGACAGCGACTCTGCTCCCAAAAGACACAGAGGTAAAAACGTGAAGCAGCACAGGCCGCTCTCGGTGGAACCGCCTGGGGAGGGAGGTTCCTGCAGGCCTGGGCCGTGGGTGGCTTCTCCTCACAGCGTCACCCTGCCACCCTGCTGAGCCACCCTTGACGTCACGCTCTGCAGAGCCCCGTGGCCCCACCCGGCCTTGGCACCCTGTGGCTTCCAAGCACTGCCCGCCTGCTTTCTAGGCACTGTGGGGTGGGCTTCCCCACTGGGGTGGGGCCATCTGGGTGGAAGGGGGCAGCTCTGGGGTCAGTCGAGGTCCATCCCCACCAGCAGAAGGCGGTCTGTGTCCGTCAGGCCAGCAGGGCTACCGAGGGCAGCACAGCAGCCCGAGCCCAGCACCTGCTGCCCGGGGCCCGGGACAGGTCCACAGATCTTCACTTCCTATGTGAAGTGACTGTCACAGGCCCTCCTGCTCCCCACAAGCCTGTGCTGGGTGCCATGGGCTGCGAGGATCTCTTCGGGCTGCAGGCTGGGACACAGGTGGGGGAGCATTCGAGAGGGATCCAGACACTGGGGCCAGGACCCGGCGGCAGACCAGGGCTGGGAGCAGGCCAGGAAGGCAGAGGGTGCTGTCTGGACTGGCCACCCTCAGCCTCCTGCCCTCAAACCCTGGGGAGCCAGAGTGGTGGAGCACGGCCACCTCTCCAAACACACAGGTCCCAAGGTGCAACTGCCCACAGCACTGGGGTCCGACCCACTGGGCCTTGAGAGCGCTGGCAGGCCTGGGTGCCCCACTGCCCCTCCTGGGCCGCCCCCGGGCTCCTGCCCAGCCCAGGACAGACCTTTGTCCCAGCGTGGCCCAGCACTGTGGGCCTTCATGTTTGTGTAAGCACACACCCTGCACACACACACCACACGTGTGCACTGCAGCTGCACACGTCACCCTGCGGACCTGGAGGAGGCCTCGTGGCGTCCACCTCTGCACAACCGCCGCGTCTCGCTGCAGAAAGTGACTCTCGCTCCGTCTGCCTCCCACACAGATCAAAGTGGAGAACCAGCTCGATTACCAGGACATCACCAGCGTGGTGGCCATGGCCAAGACCTACGCCACCACCGAGGCCTTCATCGACTCCAAGTACGACATCCGCGTCCAGAAGATCGGCTCCAACTACAAGGCCTACATGTGAGTGCCAGGCGGGGCTCGGGAGCGGGGAGGACCAGAGGCGGGCAGCGCCAGAGCCTGCCTCGGCCTCCCCGCACAGCACACGTGTCCCTCACTGTCCCCTCTGCCGCCTCGCCCTGTGTCAGGACCCTGCAGGTCCTGGGCAGACCCCTCTGCTGGAGCGCGGGCTCACATTCTCTTCACTTCTCCTCCATGCGCAGAGGCAGCCTGATCCCCTCTGCGTGGAGGACAAGCTGACTGTAATCCCAGCACTGGCAGGGAGGCTGAGGCAGGAGGACTGCAAGTCCGAGGCCAACCTGGGCAGCTTAGTGAGATCCCATCTCAATGTGAGAAGTAAAACCGGGGTGCAGCTCGTGATGGAGCACCCTGAGTTCAAACCCCGCACCGGAAGAGAAAAAGCAAGAAGGGATCCAGCACCCAGGAAGTCACGTTGGGCGCAAAAAACAGAAAGGCCAGGGGGAGGTTCCACGGGTTCCATTTAAGGGGCTCTATCAGAAGTCAGCGTGCAGCACAAACAAGCAGGCCCCTCGGAGTTACAGCGGCTGCTGCGTCCCGCAGCTCTCTCAGCTCCCAGGGTGAGGACGGCGAGCGGATGGAGAAAAAGGGCAAGAGTCGGAATCCAGAACCATGTGGAGCCCCAACTCCTGATGGGAGGAAGGAGGAGGGAAGAGGAGCAGGGAGAGGAGGAGGAGGGAGAGGAGGAGGAGGGAGAGGAGGAGGAGGGAGAGGAGGATGAGGGAGAAGAGGAGGGAGAGGAGGAGGACGGAGAGCAGGAAGAGGAAGAGGAGGAGGAGGAGCAGGAGGAGGAGCACGAGGGGGAGGAGGAGAAGGAGGAGGAGGAAGGGGAGGAAGGAGGCCCCCGAAGACTGCAGTGCCCTTCTTCGTACCCTCGGGGCTGAGTGTCACCAGAACCTCTCGGCCTCACAGCTCATCCTCCGGCCTGGCCTCCGGTGCCCTGCATGATCGATCCCCAGCTTCAGCTGCTCCCCAGAAGCGTCAGAGACACTGGGGTCCTGGGCAGCCGCAGGACTGAGCCGGAAGTGATGGCCAGGTTCAAGGACGCCTGCCCTGAGCGGCCGTGGCTCCGACCCGAGACGCGGACCCCACGGAAACGGCGATTGGTTAGGGAAAGACTGAGGCGGAGACCAGAGTCCCCCGCAGGACCCCGAGCGGGCGGGGTCGTGCCCTCTGCACACAGGGGTGCTGTGGCTAACAGCCCCGGGACCCCAGGAGGGCGACAAAGGGTGGTCAGGCACCCAGGGCCAGGGGTCCCCCCCACCTCCGCAGGGCTGGCCCTGAGCTCGGGCCTGTGACACGGACCAGGGAGCCAGCGAGCGGTGCTGTCTGCAGCACACTGAAGGCCACCGAGGCCAGGCCGGCGGCGTCTCCCTGTGCACGGCCCGGGGCCCAGCGGCCAGCCGCTGTCTGGAGAGGGTCGTGTTGGTCCCGCGGCCACTGCTGCTCCCAACTGCCTGGGCTGCCTCCTCCGCAGAGGCCCGGCAGTGACTTCAGACCTGAGGACCACGTGGTCTCCGTGCGAATCATGGCTCTCGGCCACTGCCTGGGCCACTGGAGCAGATGCGGGGACAGACAGGAGGACGCGGCAGTGGACGGCAGGAGCTGGTCCTCAGAGCCAGGCCTGCCCTGCCCTGTCACCCCCACGCCCTCCTGCGGAGCTGACTCCGACCTCCTGCGTCCTCAGGGTGCTCAAACCCCTCTTCGGGCCCGCAGCGCTGGGCGTCCAGGTGTGGTGCCAGCAGCCGGCGTGGCATCCCTTCCCATGCTCCTTCTTATCCCCGTGACACTGGAGACACCTCGTTGCCTCTTCCTTCACACGGAGCCTCTTGGGCCTGACAGCTACAGTTTGTCGTCAGTTAGGGTTTCCTGGACCCCAGGGTGGCCCCTGGCACGGCAGCTTCCCACCCTGCGGGGCGCCTGCACACCCGCACCGGCCGTGTCAGGGTTCTCAGAGCAACACGGCCAGGAAATGCGTGTGCATCGCAGCCACGACGGCTCTTCTCTCGTGGCTGCCCTCACGCGTGCTCAGACACAGGCTCAGGCCAGTCAACGCCGTCCAGTCTCCCGTCCAGGGCCCCTAACTGTGCCAGGGATGGAGCCCAGGGAGCGCAGAGCGACCCGCTCGGCCCTTTCCTGTTCCCACGTTGACACAGGCTCTCACTAAGTTACCCAGATGCTCTGGAGCTTTGCACAGTCCCGCCTCAGCCTCCCAATGGCCGGGATCACGGTGTGCGCCACTGTACCCGCCCCATGTCTGCCACCTACGGCTTGAGGTGCAGTTTGTGGCTGCAGCAGCCCGAGTGACGAAGGACTTGCCACACAGGCTCAGTTTCTGGCCTCTGCACCTCCCCGCACCACACCAGGCGGCCCATGGGGCTGAGATGCAGCCAGCGGGCCTGGCTCTGAGCAGGAGCAGAACAGCAGAGCCCGGCTCCGAGGGTTCGTGAGGTTAGAGGAGCAGGACCGGAACGCCCAGGACCCGGCCTCGACCCGGCCAGCCGTCACAGGACCGCATCGCCCCACTGGCGTCACTGTCCCGCGGCCCCAGCTCTTCCTGTCTCCGCCCATTGTGCTGGGAGATTTATGGGGCTGCTTCCTTCCCGCACGCAAAAGCCCTGAGGACGGGACCCATCAAGGAAGAGATGGCCAGACGGCCGGAGACGTTGCCATGGTTACACGGCCAGCAGGAGCAGGACCAGGATTCAAACTCACCACCACGCCCCAGGCCCAGGGCCCACTGCCCCTCTCAGGCACAGCCGCTGCCCGCAGGTGGTGGCAGCTGACCCCGCCCTCACTGGGCCCCAGAGCCTGAGCTCCCTGAGCTGAGCGTGGCTGTCGCCCGGCGCAGCCCTCCACTCAAGGCAGCAGGTGTCACCAGGGCACCAAGTGAGTGGCCTTAAGCGGTCCCCAGAGGGAACTGCCGTGACCCCTCAGGGCAGTCACGGGGCGAGAGCGTCAGGTGGTGGGGACAGGCGGGCTCCCAGGAAGCCGCACTCCAGAGCGGCCCGCGGGGGACTTAGAGAGGAGGCAGTGGGCAGCAGAGTCCACGCGGGCACAACAGGAGCGCAGGGAGGCTGGGACAGGGCCGGAGCTGTGCCAGGGAAGCTGGAGGCGGCCGCTGTTACCAGGGCAGAACGGCCCCTAGTGGTGACAAGAGGGACAGGGAGACAGGAGGCGGTGGTGGCCACCTGCCCCTCACAGTGGGCAAAGTCATGCTCCTCTCCTGACCCTGCACTTCGGGGTCTGCAAAACATCCCAGGGTCACCAGGGCTACGCCGCCCTGGTTCTCCTCAAAACCAGAGGCCCAGTGTGTTAGTCAGCGCTTTGTTAGGGTCACAGGACACCTGAGGTCAGTCAGCTTCGGGACAGGGAAGGTCCATGTGGGCTCACAGTTTCAGAACGTGCAGCCCCTGCCTCTGCTGGGCTTCCAGAAGCCCAGGACGTCATGGCCAGTGCACGTGGGGAAGGAGCTGGCTCTCCTCAGACAGCCAGGAAGCCCGGGAGGAGAGGGAAGGGAGCCCAGGGTGCACCGTGACCCCACTTCCTTCTGCCTGGCCGCCCCTCAAAGGCTCCATCTCTGGCCAGTGCCAGACTTCAGGCCCAGCCTGAATGCAGCGCCCTTCAGGGACTCAGCCACAGCACCAAGGCTGGGTCATTTTCCCAGACAGGGTCAGCACTTTGAGAAATAATCTTTGAATGTAAAGATAAACATATTATTATATGTGGGATCCAGCATATGCATCAGTCACCACGGGAAGCAAGCTCGCCTGAAGGCCTCGCCGTAGCTTGAGCTGGACGCCGGCACGGGGCCCTCACGGCCAGCGTGGGAAGGGCAGCAGGGTGGCCGAGGCGTCCCTAATGCGTGTGCTCTGCCACAGGAGGACATCCATTTCGGGGAACTGGAAGGCCAACACAGGCTCGGCCATGCTGGAGCAGGTGGCCATGACGGAGCGGTAAGAGACAGTGTGGGCTGGGCCAGTGGGGGGCGCCAGGAGCGGGCAACGCCACCACACCACCCGGTGCACGATGCAGCGCCCCCTGCAGGCAGGGTGGGTGCTGCATCCTGCAGCGGGACAAACTCAGGGCGCTGAAGGGGCGTGTCCCCATCGCAAAGCCGACCAGTGATGGCTCACCCTCGCCCTGGGGTCCTCCCGCCATCCCACAGCCCAGGAGAGGGAGGGAGCCCATCCCCAGGCCAGGGGAGGCTGGCTTCACGCCAGGGGTCCACCCGTCCCTGTCCCCAAGCACACACCTAGTCCCTCGCCAGGGATTCAGAACGGGACGTCTGTCTGACCCTGCTCAGCACCCAGGCCAGCACTTTGGGACGAAGCTGCAGCTGAGCCTCACCTGCCTACCGGCCAGGCTGGATCACATGACTGCCCTGGCCAATCCCTGTGGCGAGCAGGCTGCCACCCAGTGAGGTCCTTAGTGTGTGCCTGGGCGCAACCAGGGCCCAGGGAAGGGTCCTCGAGGAGGGCTCCCTGGGGGGGCCAAAGAGGGAGGAAGAGCTCGCCATCCCTGCACGATGGGAGGCTGAGGCAGGAGGCTGTCAAATTTCTCCCAGGCCCAGTTACTTAGATTTAGAGAGACTCTGTCTCAAAATAAAAAATTAAGCCAGGCTGGTGGGGCACACCTGTGATCACAGCACTCGGAGGCCGAGACGAGAGGATCACTGTGAGACCCAGACCAGCCTGGACTACAACGTGAGTTCAAGGCCAGCCCAAACTGCATAGTGACACCTTGTCTCAGAAAGACAATAAAATAATAATATTAATAATTAGTAAAAAAAATTATACACAAAAGGGCTGGGGATGCAGCTCCATGCAAAGGCCCTGGGTTCAATTCCATAGTTGAAAAAAGAAGAGGCAAAGGGAAGGGAAGCCACTAGGAGCTGGAGCGCCCAGTTCAGGGCTCGGTGCTGAGGACCCGCAGCCTGAGGAGAAGGGCCCTGCCGGCCGTGTCCCCCTGGGGCGTTAGCAAGCCCTTCCGACCCCCGGCTGTGGAATGGAGGCTCACACCCGGCAGCCTGCACAGGGCCCGGCCCAGCGGGACGATCCGACCTCGGAGCCTGCAGCCCGGGCACAGCGGGCCTGTGGGCTGAGGCAGTCCCGTCCCTCTCCCGGGTGCTCATGGGGCAGTGGCCCCACTGCAGGGTAACTCTGGGCTTGCTGGCCTCAGGGCAGACAAGGCAGCCCAGCGCCCCAAGGCCACGCAGTCGCTTCCCTGTGGGGTGGGGGGCTGCCCGTGGAGTTAGGGTTAGGGTGGCAGAGCCTGTGTCCTCCCCCCGCCCCTGGGCTTGGGCACAGTCAGTGTGGGGTGCAGCCTCCCCAGCTCACAGAGGAGGAAAGCTGCAGGGGTGCCCCCCAGACTGAGGGGTTCACGGCAAGCACCAGGGGCCTGATCCACCTCCTGGAGCAGCACAGACCAGCCCGGTGCATTTCAGGGAGAGGACAGGGCTCACTGGACCCCGCTGGGGTGACCCTTGGCCTCTGCAAGCCTGGCATCTGCGCTCCCTGGCCACGCAGGGGCGTGGCGGGCACTCAGGCAGGGCCATGAGAGTCTCTGCCTTCCCTTGGCCCCGTCCCATGCGGCCCGGTGAGCACTCCCAGGGCCACTGGCTGGCAGGACGGTGCCTATCCCGGCCCTGCTCAGAGACACAAACAGAACCAGGAGTGGGCCCGGGGCTGTGCCCGGGTCCTCGGTAACTCCTGGGCTGCCAGGAGGCGAGTCGAGGGCCCGCCCGGAAGTCGGCCAGGGACAACTGCCCCTTGTTGCAGGCTTGGCCAGCTCAGGGCTCTGTCCCCAGCAAAGCAAACCGGCCTTGCCGTCATCGGGTGGTTGATGGGAACAAAAGCAGCAGGGCTGGCGGGTCCTGGCTGGGGAGAATGCGCCCTTTGTCCCCAGGGCTCCCGGCTGGGAGGGTCAGAGGCGTCTGGAGCCCTGGGAGCGGCTTTCCCAAGGGAAAGGGCGGCAGGCCTGGGTGACTGGACACTCGAGACGGGCAGGAGCGGGCTGCTCGAGGCTCCTGGGCCTTCTCCCACTCCTCCCACTTCCTCCATATATATTTTTTTTAATTAAAACATTCACAATGATTTTTTTATCACACCCTAAAAATTGCAATGTTGGGATTTCTAAAAATTTATGATAACGAAGCCCCGTGTCAGGAGGGCCCCTCAAGGCCTCTGCTCAGTTCAGGCTCGCTCGTCTCGCGGCCAAGCCCCTTTCTGCAGCAGCTCCGGAAGCCTCTCTCCTGGGCGTCAGTGACGCTGCCCAGCTGCCTCGATGTCCCCCTGTCCTGGTCCCCTTGGCTCTGGGAGGGGCCGCAGTGGCACCGAGCACACGGGTGACCAAGGTGACTGCGGGAGCTGCCTTCCTGCTGGGTGGCGCTCGAAGCAGTGGCCACCGTGTTTTCATGGTGAAAGAGGACCTGAGAGCTGCAGGAGTGGCCGGGACACCGGGACGAGTGTGCCCGGGCAGGGCAGGGCAGGGGCGCGTGTCTTCCGAGATAGCAGAGACTTAGGCTAACGGCCCCTGTGCACTGCGGCCACACCGTGCCTGTGCACCTGCGTGTGTGTCTGTGTTCTGCAGCCATCCGGCTCGCGGGCGCCCCTGTCCTTCCTCTCTGACGCCCCGGCCCCTGGTGCTCACCGTCCTTCTGTCCGTCCCTCCGGCAGGTACCGGCTGTGGGTGGACAGCTGCTCGGAAATGTTTGGCGGCCTGGACATCTGTGCGGTGAAGGCCGTGCACAGCAAGGATGGCAGAGACTTCATCATCGAGGTGCAGGCCCAGCCCCGGGCACGAGGGGGCATCATCCTCAGGGCTAAGGGGAGGGCACCATCTGGCTGACTTGGCCAGATTGCTCCATCGACCCTCACCAGGGTGCCAGTGTGTGACGTGTACATACCTCCCTGGTCACTCTGTAGAGGCTCCATCATTTAGTCATTCAACAAACCCAAGCTTCAGGACTCCCGTGACCAGGCATGGGTGGTTTTGGGGACACGGGGTGAATGGCCTGGGCGCGGAGCTGCAGCTGGCAAGGAGAGAAAGAAGCCAGAGCTGGGTGGTGGGAGACAGAGGTGGAGAAACAGGGTATGTGGGGGCTCCGGGGTGGGGCTGGGCATCCTGTAGCCGCACCTCACGTGCCCCCCATGTCTCCCAGACCACAGGATGCGTGAGGGAGGCAGAGTGCGGCTGCCGGGAGACAGGAGGGCCCCAGGGAGAGCCCCCCTGGCCCCCATGCACCCCCTCACCACCGAGCCGCCCACTGGGCACCACAGAGCGAATCTGTACTCACGGGTGGGCGCTGCCCTGTGATCCCACGATGCTCCTCTCAGGGGCCTGCTCCTGCGGCCAGCACCGGGGGCAGATGGAAGATTTCACATCACACACAAGCAGCGGCTTGGGCAGCGACTCACAGAAAACAACTCTAAAATGTCCCAGAAAAAGTGGCGCCTGGGGCCATTGGGCCTGGGGACGCCACAGGGGTGCTCCTGCCTTGGGGTTTGGGCAGCCAGGGAGTGGGCGCTGTGTCCCCCAGAAGGACACAGCAGCGCCCAGGAGAGGCCCTGGCCCGGCCGTGCACAGCCTGAGGCCAGGACATGGCGCCCTGTGCACTGTGGTGGCCAGTGCGCTGGACGCTCCCAGGACCGCAGCCTGGACACTCAACCTGCGGGAAGGTTCCGTGTTGATGCCGAGGGCTGCAGGCTGGGAGCAGGGGACAGAGCTAGGCCAGCAGCGAGGGCGCCCGGGAGCTGCACCATCCAGTCCTTGGGGCAACTGTCCACTCTTGGTCTCTACAACAAGAATGGGCGAGACCCGGGGAGGCGGGCAGCTCCTCGGGTGGTGGCAGCGCCGGTGACGGTGACGGTGACAGTGACAGCGGGGCCAGAGCAGCAGTGCGGAAGCCTGTGGGTGAGCCCAGGGCAGCGTCCCAGGTGCACAGCCGCCTCCTTGCTGCTGGGCCGTGCTGTCACTGCAGCTGCCCCAGCCAGGCGGTCAGAGCCCGTGAGACGGCGGGTCTGTCCTGAAGCCTCCCGGGGGCCAGCCTCAGGAAGGGCTCTGGGCCTGGGCAGCTTCCTCCTTCGCCCTCCAGGGTCCTCCCGTCCCCCTCAGCTCCAGCGGGGCCCAGGACTCGGCCTGGGGAGGCCAGGGAAGGACACACACGTTACAGAGCAGGACTCTGTGAGGGCTGCGGGCAGGGCAGGTGGACGAGTGAGTGTCCGGGACCTCGGGCCAGCGCTTCCTCTCCGGCCTGTTTCTCCATCCATCCACAGCAGCCTGGGCCAGTGCGAGCTCTCAGCACCCCCAACACACACAAGCGCATCTGGGCGCACGGGGTCCCCGCGGCCAGAGGGACAGCCCACCCTCCCGCCCCTTTCCAGCTCTGTGGCCACCTGGGCCTTGGGCCAGAGGAAGTGGGGCCCCGGCCTGTGAGGGCTGGTGGGAAGGGAGGGTGCAGGGGCCAGGAGGGGCAGCCCATGTTGCGGTCACTGGTGCCTGAAGGCCCCGCAATGGTGAGGACCGCTCTGGAGCCCTTCAGTCCCGAGGGGAGGTTTGCGTGGGGGACAGCGCCACCTAGTGGCCACCTCATCCCGCAGGGGCCGCTCCTCCAGGCCGTGTGTCCGCCCGCAGGTCATGGACAGCTCGATGCCCCTGATCGGGGAGCACGTGGAGGATGACCGGCAGCTGATGGCCGACCTCGTGGTGTCCAAGATGAACCAGCTCCTGGTGCCAGGGGCCGCGGTGCCCTCCACCCTGAGGCCCTGGGTGAGGCAGGAGCGAAGGGACTGGGGGGGCCTTGCCTGCCCTGTGGCTCGGGCCCTGGCTCCAAGCTGATACTGGGGGGAAGTGGACGTGGACACTCTGGGTTGTGCTGGGGGTCACCTCCATTCTGGGAAGAAGAGCTCTTCCCGCCTGGTCTTTGGGGTCCGTGGGCAGAGCTGACTGGCCAGTGTCATTTCTGGGTCCTCAGCCTGGGCCTGGGTGGATTTGTGGGGGCGTCCTGGCCACCAGTCAGTGGAGACCATGTGTCTCGAGTCCCCACCCCCAAGCTGGACAACGCCCCCAAAGGCCCTCACCCCTCAGCACCCCTCTGTAAAGGACCCATCACCCTGGTGCTCCGGGAAAGCAGGTCCCACCCAGGCCCGCACCTTGGCAACAGCCACCAGGCAGCCGGGGCAGCCTGGCCACTGGAACAGCCGCCGCCCGGGGTGATGCTGCACCTTGGGGCCCACCAGTAATCCCAGCATCCCGGAGGCTGAGGCAGGACAATCACTGCAAGTTGAGGTCAGCCCGGGCTACTCCGAGAGCTCAAGGCCGCAAGTGTTTCAAAATAAACACCAAGAACACTAAGCAGGACTTGGCTTCCCCTCCGCAGTAAAAGCCCTCTGGCGCCCTCCTGCCAGGAGGCAAGGGGCTGGGCCAGCACAGCAGGGCAAGCAGGCTCCCTTTCTCTTCCCTCCAGGCTCCCCAGACTAAGCCAGCAAAGTCCCCAGGCCAAGGCCAGCTGGGACCTCAGCTGGGACAGCCCCAGCCGCGCCCGTCACCACAAGGTAAGACCCAGACACTCCGCTCAGCCCTCCTCCCTGGACACAGCACGCTCTGCCCTCGGGCGGAATGACGGCAGGGCGGCGGGGCGTGCTGCCCCTGCAGGCCAGGGCTGCGGGGAGGGAGGGAGGCTGCTGTTACGGGACTGAATGTGAGTCTGGTCTGGTGCTATAGCTTTCCACCCCACACTGGAGCCTGAGGCAGGAGGATGCCAAGTTTTATCTCAGCCTGACCGACCTAGAGACTTAGTGTGACCCTGTCTCAAAATAAAAAATACAGAAAGGGCTGGGGGTGTGGCTCAGTGGGAAAGCCCAGGCACCGGGGTGGGGGAGCGCTGGACAGGTCCCCTAGCAGTGTGTGGCCTCAGGACTGAACCTGAGACCTCCGCACTGAGCTTTATTAAGGGGACTTCTCACTCACACTTTTTAACCTTGAGTCAGGGTCAAGCTTGCAACTGTCCTGCCTCAGCCTCCAGCGAGCTGGAATCACGGGCACTCACTAGCTTGCTCCTCCTGTTCCTATCTTCCCGCCTCTCTTCAGTGGACACCAGGGTCCCCCTTCCCTGAGGCAGGGGTGGAGGCAACACCTTCTAGATAGTGCTTCTGCCCAGCACTGTGCTCCCAAGCTCAGATCTGTGAGTCAGACAGCTAACATGCGAGCAGAAAAGAACACAATGCACATTCCGTGTCCTGGTGACAGTTAAGGGTTTGCTGCGAACGCCCCCAGAGGACAGTGCGGTGGTCTCACTCTGGCCCCTCGGCGTGGCCAAGCAGCTGGCTTCCTCATGCCCAGGCCTGAGTAATGTCCTCTCCCTGTCTCCCTGCCCCCCCCATTACCATCACTTATCCAATCTATTCCTTTATGTCAGCTTACGTCTCCATACAGGTGAACTCGAAGTTGAACATTTCCCTAACACACCCCAAAATACACGCACAGTTAGCAAAAGCATACCCGGCCACCAACTGAACCCCACCACACTCATCAAAACCCCAGGCCCCATGCCCTCCAGCTCTGGGTGTCTGTGGTTTGAGTCTCCTTGTGACACAATCACTTCCTCACAGTCGCCACAGCCAGGGCTGACTGCCCGCTGAGTCCACAGGCTTCCGGCCTTTCCTCCAGCCTCAGTTTCTCCTGTTGTCCGTACACTGACAAGTCCGCAGACTTGGAAGCTCGGACTCCTGTAGAATGAAGTGGCCGTCTCGGCCGCGGGCTGGCGTGTGGCGACCCCACAGGAGTCCTCCCCGCTGTCTCACTGCCGGGAAGGTAAAGGAAGCCGTGCTGACGTCCGCAGCTGAGTGTGGTCCACCGCTGTCCACTGCTGTGACAGCACCGAGGAGGCCCCATGAAGGAGAGGTCCTGCGGCTTAGGGCTCCAGGGCTCCAGCCACGTCACTGCCCAGTTTCCTGTGGGCAGAAGCAGTGTCAGAGACGGCTGCCCACCTCGTGGGGGCGGGAAGCGGGCTGCAGCAGGTCCCGGGGCCCCTTAGCTCACCCCAGGTGACTGCCCTCCCCCCTCCCACGGGCCCATCCAGGAGCCATCAGCGGGGACCAAGTCTCCCCATGTGGCCTTGTGGGCACGCTTAGGTGCCCACGCTAACCAGCTGTGTGCAAAGGAGTCCAGGTCTGTGGCCCCCCGGCCTTTGCAGTCTTGGACGGTGACAGCTCTGTCGGAGCCTCAGTTTCCCCACAGGTAGAGGAGGGAGGCATCTGCCTTGTTTAATGGCAGGCGGTGCCCATGGGACGATGCAGGAGCGGCCGCAGAGCCCGGAAGCACCTTCCCAACTTCCTCTCTGGTCCAGGGCGGACACATGTCTGACAAAAGGGGCTTGCCGGGCAGGCGCTTAGGCCACTGAGCCAAGTCCCTGGCTCCCAAGATGTTATTTTAAGGACGCAGCTGGACGAACTTTTTAGAGAGTTAAGAAAACAATCACCTTAAAGCCAATCCAGGTAACTGAAGAAAATGTCCTGTGAATTAGCATCAGATTAAAAGCAATAAGGTGAATGTTTAAACTGTCATTTTCACTGCCTTCCCATGAAGCGCACTTTATTAACTTGTTCAAGTCACGCTCTTTCAAACTCAAAGAGAAATTTTCTTTCTAAGAAACTCCATCTCTTAGCATGGATTCTGTAGATAGATAAACACTTTCTAGCCTTCAGCTAATATTTTTGTGGGTGCTCAAATAAGGAATCTGAGGGGTTTGGTTTGCCAAAAAGAGACCGAACAGGGGCATGAGAGGGCTCAGGAAATAGTGAGGCGTTGGAGGGCTGCGGTTATCCAAGGTGTCACCAGACCTGGGACGGGGTTAGGGCCTGAAGAGTAGAGAGCAGAGGGGACCTTCACCCGCCGTGGGCTTTTTCTTATCTTTTGACACCAGGTCTCGCTCTGCAGTTCACTGAGCTCACTTTGTAGCCCAGGCAGGTCTTGAATTTGCAATGATCCTCCTGCCTCAGCCTCCCAAGGCTGGAATTACAGGCCTGCCCTACCACACCCAGCTTGCAATGGATTTAAAGCACAAAAATGTAGCCAACACTTAACAACCAGGAACTTTTCCTTACTGTCTAGATTTGTTTTGTTTTTGACAGAATCTCACCGTGTAGTTCAGGCTGTCCTTGAACTTGTAGTGATCCTCCTGCCTCAGCTCTGAGTGCTGGGACTCCGGGGGTGGCCATGGAGGAGCTCAAACATCTAATTGTATCTGGAACTCCCTGCTCAACCCTGAGCCTCTCCAGCCTCTCCTGGGGGCCCAGAAGTTCTAGGAACAGCCATCACCCTAGCCGCTGTTAAGGACGGGCTGGGGGCGGGATGGCTCTGCCGGCGTGGACTTGGCCACCCTCGGCAGATGCTCTGCACTGCAGGTGCTGGGGGATCCAGGCCTTGCACCTGCTCAGGGCCGCGTCTGCGAGGACCCGGGCAGCCCTGCGTGGACAGCAGGAGGAGGAAGACGGGGAGCTGGAGGAGGGGGAGGAAGGACAGGGAGGGGAAGGGCAGGGGGAGGAGAAAGAGAAAGGGGGAGGAGGAGAAAGAGGCTCAAAGCACCCCAGGGCCCTAGCCAGGCGCGGCCCCTCCTGACCTCTGTGTCCACACCCGGCAGGAGCCCTCGAGGCTCCGCCGGCCTCGGGGTGCTGAGCAGAAGGGGCTCCCCGGCCTCTAAAGCAAGAGACAGACTGCTGAGGTTCTGCAGTGCCAGAGCAGCCCTGTCCAGCCCAGGAGGGTCCTTTAGAGCCCTCCGGGTGCCGCCTGGCAGTGACGGGAGGTGGACGCGAACCATCCCCGTCGGTGTCCCGCACCACCGGGCCGGGTGCCACCCGCCGTGGGAGCAGCAGGCTGTGGCCCGGCCTGCAGCGCGGGGCTGGAGTGAGGTCCGCGCGGGCGCAGTTTCCAAGCCTCGGCTCTCCGCGGAGCTCAGGGCCACCCGCATCCCTGGTGCCCCCCTTCCTGCAGTGGCCAGGCCTGTGGATCCCGGCCACCCTCAGAAACGCTTCGCCTCAGCGTCCCCTTACAGACCCCCCCCCCGTGTCACTAACGCCCCCTGCCGCCTCCTCCGGGGTACCCCAGCACCTTGCACGATGTGGGGGTCTCATCCACCTCAGCCTGGTGCCTGCGACCGGTTCTCGCCGGTGCAGACAGCACTGTGCACCCCGCGTACCCCTACGCACCCACCTGAATGCACCTCTCTTCTCACCCGCAGGGGGCCCTCGCCAGGCTCAGTCTCCTCAGACCCCCAGATCTGGAAGCCCCTCCCAACAGCGGCTCTCCCCACAGGGCCAGCAGCCGCTGAGCCCCCAGCCCGGGTCCCCCCAGCCGCAGAGGTCCCCGGGCTCTCCGCAGCTGGCCCGGGCTTCGGGGGGCACCTCCCCGAGCCAGGCCTCCAAGCCAGGCGCCACCCTCCCGTCCCAGCCCCGGCTGCCTGCTCAGAGCCGCAGCACCTCCCAGCAGGGAGAGGACCCCAAGAAGACAGCGCCGCCCCACCCCCACCTCAAGTAAGTGCTTCGGGGACCCGAGGGGCACAGCCAGGGTGCGGGCAGGCAGGCTGAGGAAGCTGGACAGGGAGCCCTCCAAGGATTTCAGGAGTGTTACTAGCCCCACACCCTTCTGTGAGCACACACCCCTCACCTCTTCCTGCACGGCCCCCCAGACTGGAGAGGAACCAGAAAGCAAACCACTTTCCGTTTGTTTGTTCTGTTTGGGGCTCAGCTGGCTGGTTCTTCTGCTAGTGACTCCTGGAGAATTGCGGATAAACCGAGGCATGTCCAGGGAGACATGAGTCATTCTGAGTATGAGGCAGCCCCAGATATCGCCTGGGATACTTTATTTAATGAGATCTGCTATGTAGTCCAGGCTGGTCTTGAACTCAAGATCTTCCTGCCTCAGCCTTCCAAGTGCTGAGTTACAGCCATGTACCACCGTGCCCAGCAAGACTCTCTACTTTTTAAACGATGTAGTTATTTTTCATCTAGAATTTAAACATAACTGGGACCATGTTTATTTCCCAACCCTCTGTGGCAGCTTCCCTGGGAATGGATGGTCCTGGAGGGCCCCGTGTACACGTGCTGCGGGTGCCGGCCATGTGACCTCACCTGCCAAGTCGAGGCCCAGCGCACCCACGTGGTGGAATTCATCTCCTAAAGGGCAGAAGCCCCAGGAGGGGCTGGGCACAGTGAGGTGCCTGGCTGAGCCCGGCTCAGGAGAGAACAGACATAGGCACTGTGCCGGGTGGGCATGGGCACGGTGGCGGGTCACACCTGCTTCCCCCAGGCGCCTCCTGTGTGCAGCTGCAGAGCCGCAGCGCCCTGTCCTTCTCCCACCTGCTGCCCTCGAGTCCTTGCTTCACCTGGCTGTGGTAGCACCAGGGGCCATGCATGTGGCAGGCAAGCACTCAACCGCAGGCCACATCCCCTGCCCCGAGGACAAGCAAGGAGCTGAGTGGACAACAGAGGAACTGAGGGTTCACTCGGCCCGAGTCGGCAGACGCTGACCAGAGACCCGGCCATCGGTGCCCCAGCTGAGGCTGTCAGGGAAACCAGCAGAGCAGAAGCCAGCCCTGCCGGGAGGGGTTCCAGCTAACATGGGCAAGCGCTCTTAAACTTGTGCCAAGCTGGTCATGGAGGCAGACACTTGTGACCCAGCACTTGGGAGGCTGAGACAGGAGGACCGAAGGCCAGCCTGCAGCACATAGCGAGACCCTGCTTTAAAGCACAAAATCCAGCAAGCTTGTGCCGCGTGCACGTCCCCTCCCTTCCTCCTGCTTTCTGCCTCCTCCTGTCCCCTCCGCTCCCCCAACCCCCCAGTCACAGCCCTGGCCTGTGAGCGCCCCGGGCAGGGCCTGCTGTGCTCACCTCCGCATCAGGCCTGGCACCCAGGAAGTGCTCGAGAGCAGGCGCTGCCAGTGGGCACTGCTTGGCACTCAGAAGGGTGAACGTTCCCACCAGGGTGGGGATGAGGGTGAGGGTGGTGCTGATATTTGGGACAGCGGAGCCAGGGCCTGGGGCCGCGTTCAGACAGGGAAGGGACTGCAGCCTTGGAGGCTGGGGTGGGCGTGGGCTGCGGCCCCAGGACCCTGCACTGCGCACGCCGCAGCTGGCCCAGCAGGCGTGTCCACACAGACAGGGAGGACAGGAGCTGTGCCCAATGCACGATGCCAGCTGGCCAGGCAGAGTCACCTCGATTCTGAGCCCCCAGAACTCAGTTAACAGCTCCCTGTGGCCTTCGGGCCTCACTGCCCCCAACCTACATCCTGAGTCAAGGTGTCAGCACCAAACCCTGATTTCTGTTTCAGCAAATCCCAGTCCTTGACCAACAGCCTCAGCACGTCGGACGCCTCCCCGCATGGGACCCCGAGTGAGGACGAGGCCAAGGCCGAGACCATCCGCAACCTGAGGAAGTCCTTCGCCAGCCTGTTCTCGGACTAGCTCGCCCCGGGCGGAGCACCAGGGGCCACCGGCACACGGGACCCTCCAGCCTCAGCCTCCTCCTGAGCTTCATACTTCCAAATGCCTTGACCCAGGAGCTGGCCTCTACTGTGTTCCCCTTGTCCGCAGCCGAGCCATCCCATCGCCATCTGAGCCAGGGCGGTGACACCCTCCACCTGCCAGCCAGGCGCAGCTGCCCGCCCACCCTGGAGTCTGCCCTTCCTGTCACCCCACAAGACGCCTCGTAAGCCCTGCTGTGCAGCCATGCTCCCCCAGCCAGTGCCAGGCTCTCCAACTCGGAGGGGCCGCTCTGAAGTGTTCTCCCACCGAGGGGGAGGCCAGCCAGTGGGCAACTGCCCCAGCCATGCTGCCGAGGCCTCCTCGCGGGACGGGCAAGCCACGGCCCATGGCGGGGTCCTGAGGTCAACAGGAAGCAGGAGGACCCCACGGCACACGGGGGCCTCTGAGAACCATAGGATGGGGTCACGCCATTATGCCACGCACCCCAGGATGTCCCCCTAACCAGACGCCACGGGCAGACCCAGGTCCTGGTTGGATCCAGCAGCTCCCAGTGGGGCTCAGTGGGGCCCCTGCCCTCCTCCTCCAGCCCTGCTTCCCCTTCCAGCCAGAGCGACACAGAGGACCAGCACAGGGGCAGGGACTTCCGGCCGCGCAGCAAGGTGTGGGTGACTCAGTCTCCAGAGGTCCCAGGCAGTGCACCACAGGAGGCGGCTGGACAGACGTCCCCAGGCCGAGACCTGGATGCGCAGGCGCGCTGCAGGCCTGGGGCCCAGCCCGCCTCCTTTCCCAGGGCCCCCAGCCCGTCCAGAAAGCACCCTGCAATCAGGGCTGCCCCAGGCCACCAACACCTGGTGCTAGAAACGCTGCAGATGGCGGAAGCAGCCGCCCGGTGCCAACAGGAGTCAGGACCTTGTCACCACCGTGTTCTCCCGACAGCCAGCTTGGCAACACCAGATCTGTCACCCTGCACTGCTCTGCAATGGCGGGAGGAGGGCCACTCTGGGCTGTCCAGGGCCAGAGGCATAATCTGCTTGAGACCGGAGCAAGGTCCAGGACGTAAGCCAGTTGCCACCTTTTTGGTCCTCCCTGTCCATGGAGGGCAAGCTCAGGCCCGCACTGCAGTCTCCTTGAGCCAGACCTCGAGACCCTGCCCCCAAGCTGGCGTCCCCAGCTGCTGGCGCGGCACGGTGCTTCCTGTGTGCTTTCTCCTCAGGCCTGTGCTGCTTTAGACTCTGGTTCTGCACCCCGTAACAGCGCTGGTGTATGGAGATGGAGAGGTCCAGCTGCTGGTGACCGCCGGGAGCCCCACCAAGGCAGCTGGGTCTCAGCGGCACCTCATTGCTTTGCTCAGCCTCTGCACCACAGCCAGCCAGGAGCAGCCCGGTCCCTGGCAGTCAGGAACGACCTGCAGCTTGGCAGAGCTGAACTGAGGCTCCACAAACAATGGACACAGGGCCAAAATGCCCCACTTTCCTGTATTTCATTCGTCTCTCGTCCCTAAAAGGTCGGGCACCCAGGAATCTCACCACTACCCTGGCTGCAGGAGCACAGGCTCCTTCCCAGCCCACAGCCTCACACAGACGGCTCCAGATGTGTGGCTGACGCAGCTTGGCCACCACACCGGTCACCCTGCACGGGGCTGACAGCGCACGGTCCCACAGAGGCCACAGGTCCCCACGCAGACCGCTGCTCCCCGGGAGGGACAGGCTGTGCTCCTCCACAACTGTCACCTTTAACAGCTGGGACATGTGGATATGGGAAAGGGCACAGAAGGAAGGGCAGGGAGGTCGCTGTAGCCTCTGAAAGGTTGCGATTGTGTTTTTTTGCTTTGTTTTTCAACTTTTTTCAACCCCAAAAAACAAAAGAAAGGCTAGCATTTTCCTCCGCGCCTACTCGGTGTGACAGAAAGATGACAAAGCCCCATTGAGCCCAGGGATTGTGCACAAAACAGGGATTCAGTGACGGAGGGGCGGGGCAGAACAGACTACAGAATGGAAGGGGCACAGAGGTGGCCTCGAGGTGCCCAGAGAACACACACCTGGGAGGCTGGGAGCCTGGAGGGTCACCACAGCCATCGAGGACAGCCAAGGCCACCTCCAGGACTGCACCGTGAAGGTCAGATCAGGGGACAGAAGGCAGCCGTCCACTTCACCCAGTACACTGGAGCTTCCCAGCAGTCCCCGCTTCAGCTGCAGGACATAAGGGGTCCTTTCGGGACCCGCCCACCCGCACCACGTGCTGACCGTTCCCCTCGAGCTCGGCTCACTGTGGTCAGCATTTAGGATTCATGCAAGTGTGCGAGGTCCTCACAGGCTGGTTAAGTCAGACTTGCAGGTTCTGGTGAACCTCACTGTCACACAAGATGAGCATCTCTCCCGGAGCCCTGACCCCAGGCCCAGAGGGAAGGCTGCTGGTCACTCACTGGCCTGCTGAGTGTCCTCGCTATCCTAGACCCCTCAATGGCCACCGATCGAAGACTTCAGGGTAATGCAGATGCCAAGAGGGAGCAGCACCCTAGCTGGCCTGGAGGCAAACCAGGAGGCTGGGTGACAGGCGCGGCAAACGGACAGAGGCTCCGGGCGTTTCCAGAGATGTGGACACTCGTGTGCGCAGGTCCCGACGCGCAGGCTGAGGAAGGTGACTGTCAGGGCCTCGGCCTCCAGGGTCTGGAGGTACTGCTTAGGGACCCCGCTCCACCGCCACAACGCTTCCCCAAGAACATCTGTAAGCCGTCAGGGTCCCACAGGCCTTGCATTACTGTCACACTGTCCCTCCTGCTGACCCCCCCCACGCACACACCCCCATCCCGCAGTCTGCTGGCTCTGCAGCAGGGGCAGTCAACCCTTCCCTGCCGCTCAGGCTCAGTGAACACCGTACCCGCCTCACGTGGAACAGCAAGAGCCAGTGCCACCACCTGCCCCGGGCCCGCGAGACACTGGCACCCAGTGACGAGCGTCCTGTGCTCCATCCCCCACACTGTGGCCCCCCAGTCTACTGCTGCACAGCTGTGCCCACAGTGGGGGGCAGGCAGGCCTGGGAGCACAGGCCCAAGGTCCAGCTCCAAGACCTGGCAAGAACCAGGTGGAGTCAGACAGAACAGGTTTCAGGTTTCCACACGGAGCCAGGCAGAGGGCAGCACGCCTGCCGGGATCTCTAACCACGCTGGGCGCGGTGGGGAGCAGGGCCCTGGCTGAAAGTAACTACGGAGGCGCTCGAGGGCCGGGGGGCGGGGGGCGGAGGCCCAGAGTGCGGAGCTGCACCTCCCGACTGCCCACCCGGCCGGCTGCCCGGCTCGGTGCTGTCACTGTGTGCAGAGGCAGGCTCGAGACCGCAACATCACCGACCAGACACCAGCAGCGCACGGGGCCACGGCTCGGCCCCATGACGGCAATGTCGGAGTTTACAAGCTGCAAAGCATAAATTCTCCAGGAGGCAAACCTGGAGGGCGGCTTTAGGAGGCTGTAATAAGCTGCCAGAAGGGTCACACCGAGCTGTCCTGAAGCCTGGTGAGGTCTGCCAGGCCAGAGGCAATGAAGCAGCGGCCACGCCCAGACGCCAGCACCAGCAGCCCCAGGAGCCCCAGCAGCCGCCGCGTCCTGCACACTCGGCTCGGTGCTTCCGGTCATCACACACACGTCTCGTCCACACTGCAGGGCCACACAGGCATCGGAGGGCCGGAGCGCCCTGGACGGCCAGCTGCAGGGCGGCCTCCCAGCCCTGCCCACAGGAAGCCCCATGGCCCGCAGGGGACACAGCGCAGGGACTGCGGGTGCACAGGGGGGCACCGGCGGGACCCTCGCCTGTACTCAATGCGGGTGACCCAGCTCCCCGGTCACGGTCACGCTGGCTGAGTTCTCACTGCGTGGAAGCTTCACCTGCAGACAGCTCAGGCAGCCCAGCAGCGGCAGCTCTCCAAGCCATTTCCTTACACGCAGAACCCGACAGGCCACCCCACAGGTACCTCTGCAGACACGCGCAGCGCTCACCCGCGCTGAGTCGGGGGTTCATTTGTCACAACAGCATGTTTCTGTAGTAGTCTGTATGATGTCACTTTGTGTTTGGCCTTTTTCTTATCAAAAAATAAACCTTGAATTTTGGGTGAAGTGTTACAGGCAGGGTGTTTTCAGGCAAGGCAGGCTGCCTCGAGGAGCCAGCAGCGGCCAGCACTGGGCAGCGCTCCACTGTCACCAGCCTCGCTCAGGTGGCCTGCTCCGCTTCGGTGGGTTTTACAGATTTCACTCTCATTTCGTTTAAAGACAACCACTAAAAAAACCTAGAAACCCCTGTAACACTGATTTGCCTATGCGCACCAGGCTCCCGATCACTGAAAACCTCAGGGTAACCTGAGCTGTGCCCAGTGCTTGTGAGGCGTCGTCTGGAACAGAAGCACTTGCCATGTAAATGACACTCCTTGTTTAATGCTGTGAGGACATTACAGCAGGGCCCATTCCACGGGGTGTCCAGGCAGGGAAAGCAGCAGCAGGCGACATTCCCAAGGCTGACCGTCACGGGGTGACCCGGGCCACCCCTGCTGGGAGCCCCATCCCTGCACCACCAGGAGAGCCCTGGGCAGCCCTGAGGAGTGCGCCTCAGTTGCCTGCAGAACAAGGCCGTCACATGAACGACATCCGGCTGTCAGAGGACCGGCCCCGGCCAGGTCTCAAGGGGAACCTGTCACCCGGGCCGCCTCGCCCCGGCAGCATGGGGCTGGACCCCGGGAAGGGGCCGATGGGGTCGAAACGAGGCCTGAGCGGTGGGAACTGGCCGGGAGTCTCCCCAGGCCCCGGGATGAGGGAACTGATCGGGTCTCCGATGCAGGGAAGGGTGGGTCGCTCATCGTACTCTCCCCCGATGATCCCGGGCGGGAGGATGGAGCAGGGCAGGATGGGCCTGGAGGGCAAGGGGCCGGGGTAGAACGGGATGGGGTGGGGGATCGATGGCAGGAACATGGCGTGCCGCGCCCTCTGCGCCTCCTTCCTCTGCTTGTGCCGCTTCTTGTACAGCTGTGGGAAAGAACAGGACAGCAGGTGGCCTGGCTGCTCTCCAGAGTCTAAACCCTCCTGACACACAGAACTCTCTGCCCCTCCCACACGGTCCAGCACACGTGGACAGCAGTGCACGGAAAGGAGCCACACACAGGGCCGGGGAACGCACTCGCCTGTTGGGTGGCACTGGGCTGGAAATTGAGGCCAGGGCCCTCTACCACCGAGCTACATCCCCAGGGGCTTGCTAGTTTCCCAGGTAGGACTTGAACTTGCAACTCTCCTGCCTCAGCCTCCCAGAGTGCTGAGATTACAGTGCACACCACTGGGTTTGGCTGGACCCACCCACAGTGGGGAACTCAGTGGCACGGACTTGGGACTCGGGACTCTGGTCTGCACACCTTGCTGGCCCATGACCTCAAGCTGGCCTTGAAGGTAGCAAATACAACCTTCAGGTGCTGGAAGGGTGACCAACACCATGTAAGTAAATTCATTTTCACCTGTTAGGTCCCCAGCTGATCCCAATTTAAAACAAACACCTGGTGCCTATGTTAGAAGATGGCTACATCCTGAGAACAGTGCTGCGCCTGGTATCAGCAATTTACGTCCCCCAACCCACCCCAAGCGGTTTCCTCAGTCCTGCTGGTACGTCTCACTGCAGTTGGCTACAAATAAAATAATCCTTTTCAAACTAGACCAGAAGCAAATGATGAAACTATTTTCAGTACTGAAATTTAGCAATACATTTAATGCAAATGGACATCACTACACCATAATACAAAGTATGTTCTACTCAGTGCTTTCTGTGATGGGGGCATTATTGGTCTTCATATTTAAAAATACTTGTGGACCGGGACTTAGCTCAGTGGCACACTGCCTGCCTGGCAAGTGTGACCTTGTGAGCTCGACTGCCGGGATCCACTCCCCAAAAATAAGATTAAGTAAGTAAAAGAAAACCTACTTCTTTCCAATCTGTGTCTCGAACTCTGGCAGAACCATCTACAAAGGGAAACAGAACACAGAGTTAAACACACCTGCTTCTGCCAGCGCTGAGTGGCGCAGCTCGAGGAGCCCAGCACCTGCAGAGCACGCCCTGCCGTGCGCCCCAAGAGCCTCGCAGGAACCCTCCCCTGTGGCTGAGTGACCCCTTCTCCCCAGGCCTGCCCCTGCCATATCCGATGGAGCCCACTCGGCCCAGGCCTGCAGCTGAGCTGTTTCTGGGTCTAGGGAATCGTGCTCCTCCCACCGCATGCGGAGCAGGCAGCCAGCAGGAGGACGGGCATCGGGAGTCCCACAGCGCGTTAATTTATGTGGAGGAAGACCCAGTCCACCTCGGTCTAAGGCAGAATCAAGGTGGTCTTCTCCACGCCCTGCCACAGCAGGCGCTGAGCTGGCCCTGTGCTGTGGCCCCACCTGCAGAGACACTCGCAACTGCGCGCACACTGAACCACAGGTTGAAAAGACAGCCCGGGCCACCCCTAAACCTGAGCCGGGTGCACAGATGAGAGAGCTAGGGTTCCTTCTGTGTGCACAGCACGGCCTGCTCTTTGTCCCTTGTCCCATACACATTGTTCACTGTGTCCTTTTGACTAAAATTTTTCTTGTTTGGTGCCTGGAATCGAACTCCAGACCTTGCACCTGGCCAGGCAGGTGTATATGTTTCTGGGCTATATCTCTGGCCCTTTGACTCAAGTTTCTAAAAACATATTTTTATTTATTTCTTTTTTAAAACAGATTTTTAAATGACACTTGCCAAAGTGTGACCGAACAGCATGTCAAACTCGGGATAAAGAAGAATGAAGGCCTTGGGAACTGAGGAGGAGGAGGAAAAGGAAACCAAGGCACACACGCTTCTTACACTTTTAGGTTTGAGGAAAACACCCCCCAAACGGCCCCACGTGAGAGTCTATGTAAAAAGAAAACAGAGGTGGAGTGCGGATCTGCCCACTGGATACTTGCAGCGGCTGCTCAGGCAGGGCACAGTGCCAGGCACATGGTCACCGCACTTGCTGACAGAAGCTGCACCGCTGCGGCAGCGCCAGGCCCGAGGGGTGTACTGGCTTAGGAATCCTGGTGCCTGGCTCCACGGTGGTCACCACGGCCACAGGAGCACCAGGTCCCACAGCGGACAGATTGGGAGAGCACAAAGCCACCACAGCCAGCCAGGAGCATTGTCCACCGCAGCAGGCTCCCGCGGGGACTCAGAACACAGGTAAGCCCCAAGCCAGGGCCTGCTGTGGCCTTAGCTGTAGAAAACCCGTGTCACCCCCATTTTCCTATCCTGAACAACTTAGCTGCAGAGGACACGTAAATAAATGACAGCACTGGGGAACAAGCCAAGCAGAACCTCTTCTAAGCCCCTCCTGCAACTCTAAAACAGAAACCCACGGAAGCCGACTCCAGCAGGAAAGAGCCCTGTCCTGTGGACGCGGGGTGCGATCACCTCGGAAGTCCCGCAGGTACAGACACCTCCACAGGAGGGGGTCATTCGATGCGATGAGGAGGTCGCGGCAGACGGCAGACAGGGACAGGATGGAGCGCACGTCCAGCAGCCGGAAGATCCGCAGCTTCAGCTCCAAGGGGAGGACAGCCAGGCCGAACACATCGGGGAGGTTCAGGGCTGACGGAGGGAGAGAGGGGCGACAGGGGCTGCTGAGCCAAGGCGTGCAGACTCCCTGCTCAGCCAGCACTGCCACTGGCTCTGCCGGAGCTGACGGGCCAGTCGTCCCCGCTGTCCACGTGGGCAGCCCAAGTCTCTTCAGTCGCCCCGAGCTGGCACAGCGCCGGCCCCGGCCCCTTCGTTTGCAGGACGCACTTCCTCACACAGACAAGGGAACTGGCAGCTGCTGAAGGCTCACCAAGCTGCACACCACGCAGCAAACCACAGGAAGGAGCTGCCCCCATCCTGCCACTCACCAGCTGTGCGTGCTGAGACACGGTAATAAACCTGCATCTTATCCCTTTCCTCGTCCGGAGACTGTGTCCGAGACACAGCACCCACCTGGGCACACTGGTCAGGTCACTGCACTGCACAGCACAGCGGGCTCAGGACAGTGCCCGCAGGGCCACGCATTCCCACGGCACTCATCACCACTCGGCACCACACAGGCTGAGGCAAGGACGGCAGGAGTTGGGAGGCAAAGGCAAGAAGGGAAGAAGACCGCCTCTAACTTTTTTTTTTGTACCAAGGATCGAACTTACGACCTCCCACTTGCCTGGCTGGCGCTTATGCTGTGGAGCTAAATCCGGGCCCATCTCTCACTTTTAAATGGAAGCTATTTTTGTATTATGGGCTGAGTATATCTTATCCAAAACACTTACGATCAAAGTGTATCAGACTTTAGAGTTTTCACAATTTTGGAATTATTTCCATAGATTTTACTGGCTGAACATCCCTAACCCAAAAGTCCAAACTCTGAAACTGCTTCAGTGTCTTGCTGGTGGTGACAGTTTCCAAACTGGAGCAATGTGGACTTCAGACGTGTCCATCAGGACACTCCACCTATCCCAGTTCTTTGGGAGTATGTGTGACACTGCTGCCCACCAGTGAAGACAACCAAACCCAGCAGACGATGTGCAAGGCTCTTCAGCTTGTTCTGACTCCCAGCACTCACTGAAGGGAAGCCATGGCACCAGGCAGGCTGAAGACCACGTTTGCTCCAGGGACACTGCAGGCCGCACCCCTGTCCATGCGGCTCTGCAGCCAACTGCGCTGGGCTCCCGGCGTCTCCTCCTGGTAACCACACCCCCGCCCCCCTGGTCAGGGCAGGCCACCGCGGAACCCCTCTGCCCAGAAAGGTGGGAGTGGAAGTGCCTTTTCACTTCAGAGCCAAACCTCTGCGAACCAATGAATGGCTGAGTCCGTCCCCCTCACCCCACAGGAAGCGTGCACCCCAGGTAAGTGCACATGGTGTGCCCAGCAGTCAGCACCAAGTCACCAGGACTCTAAGAGACTTTTACTAAGACACAAATCAGAGAAAGCCACTGTACTATTGAGCCTCTTGAGTGAATCATAAACCCCTCTGAATTACAGGTTCATCTACAAATTGCACATAGTAAAAATCTACTCCGAGTAACTAACATTAAACATTCATTAGCTACATGGAACAGCCAAAAGAATGTGGGACACTGACATCCTGATAAACGTTGGCTTACAACACGTGAGCCCAGTTCCCTGCCTGTGTGCTTAACTGCACGTCTGTTACAGGTCAGACCTGTGCTGGACTCCAAGGTGGAAGACAGTGAGACACGTTCCCAACCTTCGGTTTGCAGCCTTACAGGGAAAGAAAACACACTCAGCAATGACACACTGCGAGAAACACAGTACAGACACGCACAACGCTGCGGAAACCCACGCTGGCGGAGGTGGGAACCCCCCGAAGCTGCACCCTGAAGAGCAGAACCTGAGTGGGGTGGCGCAGCGAGGCGGCAGCGTCACCAGGGCATCCTGGCCCTGACTCCCGGCCTGGGTGCTCAACCCGACCGTCGTGCCCTCCCTCACCTTGCCGGGAGAAGGCCAGGAGCGGGTACACCAGCTGGTCTTTGAAGAGCCGGGAGAGCTTCTGAAGACCTCTGTACACCTCAGCCACGTTTTCCCCTGCATTATTTTTAAAAATTAAAAATTGAAACACACAGTCAGGCAGGAAAGCTGCTTCTTGTACTCTGCCCAATCCGCCCCGTCCCCCGGCACACGACACCCAGTCCTGAGTGGAGAGGTGCACAGCAGGAGCCTGAGCCACCGTGCTGCTGCCGCTCACGAGGCTCTCAAGGCCCTGTAGCTGCACGGGCAGACCCTACCTGTGCACGGCATCCGGCGGCCATCGGAAGTGAGTGACAGGTATTACTGTCCCCTCAGAAACGAGACAAGGCAGGCAAGCGCCAGCATGGGTATAAACCTGGCACACCTGGCGGAAATCACCCATTTCCAGCCTCACGGCTGCCACTCAGCCACAGCACAACATTGGATCCAGGACCTGTGGAGTCTGCGCTGGGCAGCAAGAGGTGCCCAGCCAGCCCTGGACAACGGCCACCTCTCACCCCACTCGCTCCACTGGCCGAGGGCGGAGCTACAGCAATGCAGACCTGAGCAGGGTGGCACACCTCTGCCCTGCCCTGCCGCACGTGCACTGATGCTTACTGGGTCCCTAAGAGCCACTACGCTCACCTGTGCCCTGTGAAACTACAACCCTAAGCCTGAAAAGCCTGAAAGCTGGTGTCTCGACATTTTAAATCAATTTGGCTCAAGGCCTTTTTTCAAATGTACAAACTGCCTTTCTTTAAATCGTTTCCATTAGCAACCTATCATATAAATATTTAGGATCTTTGAAGTCTAAATGACAGTGCTTGGAGACAGGTTCTAGCCTAAACTATAAGCCATGGAAAATGTATTAAGTGACTGGCCAAGTGAACACCGTATTCCTACCCCAAATGAAGCACTTTGGTGTTAAAAATAATCATAAATTTACACAACGATACTTTCTGCCTGCCTTTTCATTTCCTTAAGACAAACAAGGAGAAGAACAGGAATTTGAGCAGATCCCTATGAAAGTTATTTTTAAAAGGCTGGGAATCAAAAATACCTACTGCAACCCTGAATTCCTCCTTTATTAGATCTGTGCCCCTGAAGTGATTTACCTTTCTCTGGCCTGTCTCCTGCTCTATAAAATGGGCATAAAAACCTGTGATGACAGAGGTAGAGGGGAGGTATTTTTCCCATAGCACAGCCTTGTCCGTATGGAGGACGACAGAATGAGTTCTAGCCTAAGATTCACACTGTTCTGCTCCGAGCGGAAAAACCACACACACAGATCCAGGCATTTTCAATGGGGGCAGCAAACCGCAACCCCAGAGGTGCAAAAACTGCTTCTCAGTGAGCAAAAACATGCCAGCTACCGCAGCAGAAGTATCCAGGATACAAGGGGTTTAGCCTGTCAGCAAAGAGAGCGAGAAAGATCTACCGAAGTACAGGACTTTACTCTCCCGTAAGAGACAGCGCGCAAAGCAGCTGTTAATGCTGAATGCAGGTCCAGCGCGTCCCACTGAGCAGGCGCCCGGGCCCTGGCTGTGCCACGGGTTTATCATGGCATGGGTTTCTGCCTGCGTCAGTCCTGCAGGCCTGCTCTCCCTGGACACCACCGGGAGGGAGCCCGGGGGTCCCACGCGCCGCCTGGGGGTCTAACCAGTCCTTCCCGGGAGACGCTGCTGCAAACGCCGCTCCTCAGCCCACGAGCAGGCCGAGTGCACGGCACAGAGGCGGAGGTAAAGGCACCCGGGCCACCAGCACAGGAACTCAGTGTGCACTCTTCCTCCATCAGCCACTTGTCTGCCTCTCGGTGTGGGTGTGAGTGAAGGCCAACAGGGAGGAAAATCTGTCTGTCAACACTAAGAAACTTGACAGACTGGGACCACGCTAAGAACGCAAACTCTGGTGAAGTTCTCATCTGGAGCTTTAAGGAAACAGCGAGAGTGCAGGCTCCCCTGTAATACTCTAAGGAGACTGCACAGAGCACCGCATGAGACACAGTCCCCCCAAGCTGCTCAGGGACAACGCCCCAGAGAGCTCCGAAGGAGTCGGAGGCCAGGAGGGGCGTCAGGATGCAGTCACACACGAGCGCCGGGTTCGGCCTCCACCACCCGGAGCCAGCAGGAGCAGACCAGCTCCTCATCTGCACCCAGGCCTCGGGCTCCTCAAGACGGCACCGTGTGGACCGGCTCTGCTCGCAGCGGGGCGGCCGCCTCCCGCTTCAGCGATTCCCAAAACGGGCCTCCAGGGAGATGACGACGTCACCTGGTTTCTCTGTGCAAATGAAGGATGCTGGCAGCAGCTGCAACCTTTTCACACTTTTAATCTCGCTGTCAATCTTCAGTGTAGCTGTGAATAAGGAAAGGAAAGAGGGCTCAGACCGCGTCGGCTCGTTCACCACCTTCCTGCCCGGCAGCGGCTTGCATGCGCCTGCCCACAAGGGCTGAGGACGCACCATGCCAAACCACCTTCTCCATGCCTACTTCTTCCCGCACAGCAAGGCCAAACATGTGACCTGCCACGAGGGAGAATCAGTCTGCACACCCCCTCTAGAAACTACGCCAAGGTCTCTCTGTGCAGCCCTCCCGCACACTCCCAGCAGCTGGAGAGATGCAGCAAGGTTGTCAGGACGCACGCAGCCAAATCCAACAAACCCCCTTCCCTGCAGACCGCCCTGTCTCACACGCCCTTGGCGGTGGGCCTGTCCCCGTCCGTGAAGGCCATGCTGCCAGTCTGCACAAAAGCATCACTCTCTGGACCCAACGTTGCAGGCCAGTGGGGGCACTGGCACAAAGGCACACTTCACGGGCACCATGAAAGACGGAGGGTCCCCGGGAGGGAGAGCAGGGACACGGCGTTCCCTCCCACAGCATCTAGCACGCCAGGCCACCCAGTGGGCCTGTAATTCTTGGGCATGCAAGAACAGGAAAGGAACAAAACGGGAAAAAGCAGATCATCAGATACTGAGTAAACAGAGGTCCTGAAGGGTGCTCCTGAGAAACTGAGGCACACAGTGTTGTGCATTTACCACTGGCCTCTCCAACCCTGCGGGTGGGGATCCGCCAAGGACAGGAGCCGCTGCGCTCTCGGTACGAGAACCAGTAACGGCAGCCAGCGGGCTAACAGGAGAATGCCTGCGGGCGCACTGGGTGCTAACACTTCACACAGGCACGTCCTCAGCAGTGCGCACTAGCACAGAAGTCATCACAGCACAAGCAGGAATGTTTCACACCGCAGACTCCGGGGATGAAACAGAAACAGCAAACATCGTAAAACAGGGCCTCCAACTCCCCCATTTCAGCAGCTCTCACAACCTTAGCAGAAAGTAGCATTGTTTTCAAACACAGAAAGCAAAACAAGAACATGGTCATTTAATCCTACTACACTGTCTTACTGAGTGAGCCAAAGGTTACACCCCACAAACAAACGGACCCCAGGAAGAGCTGGTCCAGCAGGCACAGAGACCAAGCAGCTCCTGAGCTGCAGTGACGGACACAGGTGGACAGCACACTGGCCCAGCACGACCCAGCCACAGCGAAGGGCACAAAGGAAAAGCGCTTCCTGGGAGCGGAGTCGCAGAGACGCCGCCACAGGGCTAAGCAGGGCCCACCCGCCTCGGCCTCAGCAAGACTGCTGCTGAGAAGCCAACAACTAACTACAGGCCAGCCACGGAGAGCCAGGACCCAGCTGCGCAGTAACAAGTCCTCCGCTGGCGCGGGAAGGGGTGCAGGGGTACCCTCTGCGGCTCGGCATGGCTGGGGGGCTCCCAGCTGGGTCAGCACAGCCCATCACTGCCGCGCCACAGTCACCAGGCACATCTCGGATGCAGGCGTCCTAACCCACAAGCCCGCCTCGCGCCCAACGGTCCCAGTACCCCCAGTACCGTTGACGACCATCAGGCTGCCCAGAGGCACGCAGGTGAGCGCGGCGGAGCTGCCTTCGCACAGCGGGTGCGTGTACTGTAGCCGGTACACGCCGCTCGCCTTCCACTTCCCCGGCATGGACGCTGCTTTGGCTTCTGTCCCCTGCGGAGTGACACGAGAGGGAAAGAGGTAAGGGTGGAAGGCCGTGATCTCAAAAAAACTTCAAGACATCTGACTTGCTCGCAAATAGTTCTAGTTCAAACGGGCTACGCCAGACTGTCCTAGCGGCAGATGACTACGTTTCATTTTTATTCCAGTAGGGGAAGTAACATCAGAGGAATGAGGCTTTGCTCCTGTCTTCAGAGTCACCTCCCACCAAGCACAGCCGCCAGCAATCTGCTGGAACACGTCCTCCCTCCGTAGAGCCTCGTCCAAAGCCGTGTCACTCCCGGCTGCCCAAACCTTCCGCCCGTTTCTAGGCTGCCCGTGACGGCGGTATCTGTCGCGGGGTGCTGTTATTCATATACCGCGCTTTTTATTAGTCTCTCAGCCTCTTACGGACTCCTGGAGGGTGAAGGGCACCCCAATGGTTTGACCGCCCGCCCAATCTGTGGCTCGGTGTGTGGCAGGCGGAGGGCTGGCAGGCACCTGTGAACTCCCTCACTCTGGAACCCTTCACACCCAGCAGCGTGACACCGAACAGACACTCAGGTCCCACCACATCCACACCCTGCATTCTGGACGCATGTGCGCCCTGGGGACGTCTGAGCCCAAGTCTGAGCTCCACTCCAGAAACCGTGAAGCCCCAGCCCCGGGGCGTGTGGCCGTCTCTCCTAGAACCTCACCAACATGTCAGCGTGGTCTGTGCCCGCTGTCCCTGCCACACTCATGGGAGGGGGGACCCTGGAAGTGCTTACCGCAGGACGGAGGGAGCGAGTGCCCACCCACGGTGCCCCTCCCCAACACGGCCGCGCTCGGTCCCTGCCATCTCATAAGGGACAGCCCAGAGAGCGGCCGGGCCACTCCAGCCCCGCTCGCTGACCTCACCCCCTGCACGTCCCCACCGAGGGGCCCGTCTCTTAGACCCATCAATGGCCCCCCTCCGCGCTACTAAATACTGACCAAGGAAGGGGGAGAGAGGACACCAGCGGAGGGCGCGTGGCCAAGTGCTGGCGACAGACCCTGCGTTTGACACCCAAGCCTGGCCGCTCCCTGACGGCCTGGGCACGTGGGCCGCCACCTCCCGAGGGCCTCACCTGAGGGATGTACCCGGACTCCACCATGAGGAGATGGATCAGCACTGTGAGCGCGTCGGTGGCACTGCAGCAGCCGGCTGACTGATACAGGGTCGCCAGCGAGTGCGGCACCTGCCCCTCCACCGCCTCGCTGCAGAGCATTGGCTCTGAGGGGTAGCACCTCACGCCCTCGTCCACGTCCACGTCCCCAGCATCTTCCTCAGTTGCAGCTGTGATACTGGGACTGGGCCCCGCCTGAAAGCGACAAGGAGAAAGAAATCAAGTGCTTTATTCACACGCAGAACCGTATGCCCCCGAACGGAGACTGGCACTCGGAGCACGGCGCAGCAGCGGCTCAGCTCAGGACGCCGCCGGGGAGCCCTGGGAAACTGGGGAGTCCACAGGCACCTGGTCTCCCCGCATTTCAGCCGAGAAGCCCAGAGCTGCCTGGGGCCTGCTGTCCCTTCCTGAGCCCACTCCAACTCCGCGGAAACCTGCTCCTGGCCACAGCCGCCCCCGTCTCTCCAGGCTCCAGCAGCAGCCTCCACCTCCTGCAGTGCCCCACACACTGCCGGCCCACGGCAAGTCACACTCCGCACTCCTACGCCGCAGCTAAGCACGGGCCCTGCTCTGCCCGGCAGCCGTGCTCCCCCAGCTGAGGGGTAGGCTGTGCCCCCTAACGTTCTTAAAAAAAGGGCAGCGCGTGACCAGGTCAGTGTGGAAAATGCTGCCCACTGCAGCCACCTATCCTCACTCTCCATGCTCACAGAACACGCGAGCAGCTCAGTAAAGGCTCGGGGAAGTCTAAGGGTGAGAGGGCCACGCACAGGACACTGAACCAAGACGTAGCACCCTTCTCCGTTCTCTAACACTGAGCAGCTCATGAAACAATTGCTTACGGACTAGAAATGCAGGCCTGCAAAGTGCACAGACACTAAGCCGGCCGCTGCCTGGCCAGTCCTCCAAGGCCTCGTCTCCGGCGGCCCTCCCCCAGCCCTCCTGCCACCTCCTGATCCCATCTGCATCCCATGCGGCCCTCGGTCTGCTCGGGACCAGATGATGAGTCATCAGTACGTTCCCCACACAGGACCTGGCACCCAGCACAGCGAGGCAATGTCCCGTGCCCTATTTTCTCATTTGTCCTCGCAGGAACCCCGGAGACTACACAAGGCAGGTCATGTTACCTTTGCACAGATGCTGTAACTAATTCAGAAAAATTAAGCTACATGACCAACAGAGCCAGCTGATAAAAACCTGAAAGCAACCCGTCCCCAGACACACGCAGAGTTCAGGGCTTTTACAAAGCACTGCCCACCTCAATAAAGCTGAGTTACCAGGGTGATTCCAATTTTGTCCAGAAACTTTTGTTTCCCAGGCTGGGGCTGAACTCCTGATGCAAAGCACATGATTTTTCTGTTAAAGTCTGTTCTGCTACCAAAGAGGGGGCAGAGGGAATTACAGCACTGAGCGACGGGCTGCAGGAAGACTAGGACCCGGAGGCATCGCCCTGGTCCCAGGTCTGTGGGACCCAAGCCTGAGGGCAAGGGAAGCCCCAGACTCACTGGGCAAAACCCACAGGCCAGCGAGTCACACCACAGAGGAGAACGATGACCCAAAGACCTTCCAGGTTTGTTTGGTTTCATTTTTTGGTACAACACGCTTTTTAAGAATGACTTAGTACCAAGCTAAGTCACGCACTAGCTCTCGGCTTCTTCCCATTATGGCCAGCTTCCAGCCATTTACCGCTGCTGACAGCCACGTGGGTCGGAACGCCTTCGGGAAAGCACTCAGGAGCCACCCCGGGCTGCAACCCCGCCGAGCGCGCGCCCAGAGCCCTGGCAGGCTTATCAGGCCTGGCCCCCAGCTCCGCACAGCCACCAGCACCCTCTGGGCACTCTGATAGGAGGCCTCTCCAGCCGGTGCCCCGGGGCCTCCGGGAGGAGCCCCTGGCCTGACACAGGCCACCCCGCCTGCCCTGAGACAGGAGGTACTGGTGCATGAAGCAAGAAAACCTCACACGGGAGCGACACTCCCCTCCTCGGCTTCGAGAGTCGGATTTTCCCTCCCCCCACTACCACTGCATTCTACACGTAAGGAGCAGAGCACACCACTGCGAGGACTGTCCACCAAGAGTCCACACTCAGGACCAGCAAGGTTTTACAGTCACCCCGCACAAACCTTAGAGCACAATACGCTGTGGAACCGCAATCCCTACCCAGAAGCACCACAGATTTCCCCGCATTTTCCAGAGGAACTCCCACGTCCTACAGAAGGTTCCGCCTCACTAGACGATTTTGGTAGTACACGGAAGCAAAGGGAACTGGCCCTTCTGCTAACTCCCTCTGAATGAGCCCAAAAGCAAAAAAGTCAGCAATTAAAAAAGTAATTAAGTATGTAGCTAACTATCCTTATTCATTCCTCAGACTGCCTGTCTAAAGCACAAACAGAGACACAATCATTTCTCAAACTAGTAAAAATCCATTTATCTGGACACAAGTGATTTCTACAATTTAACAAGTTAAGCTGCTTTTTAATATCTGTCTATATTTAATGCCACAATAGGTAGCTTTAATAATGAAGGCCCACAAAGGAAAAAACGGGAGCGATAAGTGTACATGCAACTAAACAACAATGAACAAGCATCGCGCTTGATATTAAAATTATTATTAAAACATTGTCCCCCTCACACAAGACACCGAAAGGCAGGACAAAAGCAATGAGGCCTCTGCAGGCAATGACAGCAGCCGGGGCCGGGGCCGGGGCCGAGGCCGGGGCCGGGGCTCAGGAGGAGGGTGCCCGCCCAGCCCGCACCAGGCCAAAAGGACATCACTGGCTGGCCAAGGCCCTGGAAGAGGGGCACCGCAGACGGCCGGGGAGAAGCAGCTCGTCAGGCTCCGCGTAGGAGCATGAGCAAATACGGAATATTCTTTAAAACGTAAATACGTTTCAGTAAGTTACCACTTTACTATATTTTCTGTCAAAATTGTTTTGCAGAAACACCACAAAGGAAATTACAGACGATACGCAGCTCTAACCTACTTTCCTGTATTGTGCACTTTGAATCCAATCACAAGCGCACGCAACAGCACGCCCCCGGTACTACGGAGTGCAAACACCGTGCACATTCTTCCAACAGTAACAAAAATGTTCATTTTCCAAAGCAAGATTAAATCAAGGAACACACGGAGCACTGCTGGTGAAGGCTCTTAAAGAAGCTTTAAGAACTGAACTACAGCGTCTGGGCAGAGCAGCACGCACGCTGTGAAAGGGAGCAACAACTCGCCACTGCCTGAGCTCAGTTACGTACCGTGACTTCGGGCAGGAAACAGCTGAGCATCGCACAACTGCCACAACCTTGCCTGCACCTCAACACAAACCACAGCTGTTTTTAAGCTGAACAACTACCTTGTCCTTCAATAACATGGTAATTTCATTTAAGAACCAGTACTTCTCAGAGCATCAAGGAAAGCCAAGCTCTGAAAAGCGTTTCATGTTTGATACCCACCATTTCATCATCCTGCCCGACACTGGACTGGGCTGCCTGTCCAAGGAATAAATCGCTCTGTCCTTCATCCGGGACACTGGCCTGGCTGGCGGTGGTGGCCAGAGGGGGGTGGTCATTATTCGGGACGGAGAAATGCTCTGAATCTGTGGATGGAGGCAAGTTAGGTGCCGGCATGGCATCTTCAAGAACCAAACATATCAAGTCCCCAGAAACAATCCCATATGACGCCAAGGTCTCTTCGTCTCCAGTGAGGGCATCTCTGTTGTTCAGGGTAATTGCATAGCGGGTATCAGAACTGCCAAGAGAGACAGATAAGGACAGTAAGCGCCACCTCTTGGCACCACCCTAAGCAGCGCATCTGGAGCACATCTTGGCATGACTCTAGAACTAGGTAGTGAAACCCTAAGTTGTTATTCTTATCATAAAACGCAGAGGTTAAAGCCTCCTCATAGTGAAAACGCTGGCCGGGAGTATCAAGTACTTCTCTCCCAGCAGGCCACGTTTTCCTCCTTCTAAGCTACACCTTGTTTTTACAGTTTGGCATCTCTGACACAGGACTGCTTTCCAGACTTCAGGCCGCATCATTTAATTCACAGCATTGCCCCTTCCTGTCACATAAAACAGCGTGCATCTTACAGCTGATAGAAAGGATTCAATGAAATTCTTTCTAAAATCTGAGACCACATCACGCCTCTGCATGAAGCTACAGCCTTCACGTGGCCAAAGCCAGGCACTGCACTACCCCACCACAGGACGTCTGAGGCTGTCCTCCCCCGCTTCAGGGCTCCTCCCAAGAGTGCCCGGCAGTAAACTAGCCTCCCTGCAGCGTGGCCTCGCCGTCACCCAGCCAGGTCATCGCGCAAGTGAGTCCTGCTCTCCACACAGCCTCACCTCAATGTCACCTCTCAGGAAAAGCCTCCGGCAACATTTATCTTTATCCTAACACCACTGGAAAGTACTGTGCTTACTTATCTATTACCTGTCTTCCCGACACCTACCACTAGAACTTAGGTTTCAAAAGACCAGGGGACCTGGATATCTGACAGATAGAGAGCCCCAAATGCAACCCCACTCATCAACTGGAGAACTGGGGAGGGCATAAAGCGGGGGCTGCCTAGCTGCATCCTTTCAGGAGAATTTGTTCTAAGTAACATTCATAAGGGTGTGCAGATGACAGTGCAAAGTCATCTCCCACCGCCGAGGACAGGCACAAGGCAGCCTCCTGGTCAGTCATGACGCCTTCTGTACAGAAGACAGCAAACCCCAAACTCCACCGCCCAACACACCAAGGGCTGGGAAGGCTGGGGCCATGAACTGCCACCCATTCTGCCTACCAGGGCGACTGCTTCCCGCGGCAGAAGTGAGGTAAGGAACCCCCTCGTAAACATCTGATGTGACATTTACTCTCTTAATGCTGTGATGCACATTTTTTTAAAGATAAGCAAAACATGAGTTCCTTTGAAGTCATATTTTTTGTTGATGCTACATGTTGAAAGTGTTACAAGTAATTAATTTCCCTTTCACATATAATTTTTTTTATAAATTAAAGCATCTTTAGTAGAGAAACTCTTTGTTTGTTTTGTTTTTGTATTTTTGAGACAAGGTCTCATTATGTAGTTCAGGCTGGCCTTGACCTCAATCCAAGTCCTCCTGCTTCAGCCTCCTGAGTGCAGGGATTACAGGCTACCACACCTGGCTCAAGAAATTAATGAATCAAAGTATTTCTGCTGATCAGAAAACAAGTGGCTTGGCCTCTGTTTTCAAAATGTTTTGATAAACGAAACTGCTGAAAAATCCACCAGCTACCCACAAAAACCACAACTTTGGGAGAAAAAGGAAAAACACAAGGAACAATGTGTTTGGGATCGATGGTTTTTGTTTAAAACACTCAAGTAAAATGTACATTCAAATATCTATTTGTAGAAAAGATAAAACTTGTCAGTTCTCCTTTCCACTGTCAAAAAAAGGAAGCATTATTTCTGAAGTCAGAGTTTTCTAGGGCTTTACTTTCTGAACCGGGAGGGGAAATTAACTTCATCGCAGAATGACATTCTAGAAACTCCAGGCTTTTAAGCAATACTTTCTTGGACATGGTGGTGCATGTCTATAATCCCAGCACTTGGGAGGCAGGAGCAGAAGGATTGCTGTGAGGTCAACGCCACGCTAGGCTACAAAGTGAATTCAAGGCCACCCAGAACTACACAGTGAGATCCTTTCTCAGAGAGACAGGATGTAGGCATATACATATACACAAATGTATATACTGGACACATTTTAAAATTGCCTCATTATCAAAAGAACACACTTTTAAAAGATTCCATTTACTTTCACAAGAGGTTTAATTCCTGTCGGTTAACCAGGCTCAACTGTAAAAGCAAAACTGAAAGAGAAACTAGCCGGGACTCCTGCACAGTCATACTGCGTTTCACAGCCTTAAGACAGTCCTAATTAAAAAATAACAGCACACATCTCTATGGGAACAACCTAGAAAGAAAACGTGGAGACTGTGTGGTGGGGTGGCGATGCCAGCACGTAAAACACTGGGCTTTCACACCAAGGAATTATAAACACATCGCTTTCCAAGCAGTTTAAAGAGCTCGCTTTTGATCTAGCAGTGCTTTAACCCAAAAATGAAGTTAGGAAGATGACTTCAGTTTACTGAATTCCCTAAAAACAAGGTCAAAGCATATCAGTATGGTATAAGACACCCAGGCACAGGAAGGATTCTTTTCCTTTGGAGAAACGCGCCTTCGAAGCCCCAGGGAGGATCCTCACGGGACCTGAAGCGGGGCCCCTTGCCCAGTCCCCCTGGGCCTCCATCTCTCCCTCCTGTCCCGCTCCTGTATCACTGTCCCCGCAAACACCTTCTGGAGAAACAAACCAGGACATCCTGAGCCCCACACGTGAACAGCAGGATCGGGTCTCCCCTCAACTTCACCGCCCCTTCTCCAACTCTCAGAGTCACCCTAAGTCCATCCGCTACCTCCAGTTGGGCACTAAAGCATTAGCTATGCGGCTCAGACAAGCCCGCGGTCCCGAACCAGGCCGGGCCAGCCCTGCCCGCCCTCGGCGGGGGAGTCGAGGGGCCGGCGGCGCCAGGCAGCTGCGCACCCCGCGGCCTGAGGCTCCCGGCCCGGGCGGCGACCCGGAGAAGGGTCAGGGCTGGCCCCGGGGCGAGGCCCTGGGCCCGCTACCCACTCACCCCCGGGCCCCGCCATGGTCCCGCGCCCCGCCTACCTGAGGCCCCAGCCCGGCAGCGCCTCGTTCAGGTGCGCGCGCAGCTGCCCCAGCGTCGGCTCGGCGGCGGGCATCTCCAGCCGCCGCGTCTGCTTCTGAAGCCGCACCCGCAGCTTCATGGCGGCGGTGGAGGGCCGCGGAGGGGCCCCGGGACGGGCCGCGTTCTGGACAGGGCGCTGCGCCGCGCTCCTCGGGGCCTCCTGGAGCCAACCCGCTGGCGAGACGGCGGCCGCGAACTTCCGGTTTATCCACTGCTCGGCGCGCGGCTGTACCGCCTTGCGTAAGGCGCGTACTGCGCAGGCGCCGGTCCCACCCCGGAAGCACATCCCACACTTCCGCTGCGAGCGCGTGCGGCTTCCGCCGGTGACACTGGGTGATCAATTGGGCTCAACGGTTCTCGACATCTCGGTGTCTGCCGGGCGCTGCTCCGAGAAACTCAAGTTGAGCCCAGCTCCGGGACGTGCATCATGCAGCAGATGTAACGCAGCGTGTAGTGCGGTCCTGGGTCGGAAAGCGGGTTAGTGATGCTGCTGCTTAGCAGTCACCCAAGGCTTACTCTCCTGCCACCAGCAGGCTCCATAGGCTCGGAGTCTGGCTGTGGCGTGACTCGGTGGATCTCTCTGACGGTGTGTTGTGCGGCTGGCTGGTTTTTTGGTAAAGGGCATTGAACCTAGGGCTTTAACACTAAACTATAATTCCCAGCCCACCCACTCCTTTTTGTCTTAATTTTAGAATGGGGTCTAGGTTAGTCTCCAAATTGCTCAGGCCAGATTGAAACTGGCGGCCGGCCTCAAGGTCTCCTTCTTTTTGCACGGTATTCAAAGTTCTGAATAGAAACATGGTAGCGCACTCTTCACACCTCAGTTCATGTGAGTTGACTGTCAGGAGGGTAATGTGTCTGAAAAGAAAACGCGCATGCTAGAGCCCAGGAGGTAGAGGTCTGGTTCCCTTACTGTGAAGGAGAGACGCGCCCACCTCCAGCGAAAGGGAAAACTGCACTAGGAAAATTGGTTCTTTTTAAAACTTTGTTCTTTAAAGCTGCCAAGCTCTGGGCAGTCGTGAGTTCCATCCCCGGTACCGATAAAAAGGAAAAAGACAAAAAAAAAAAAAAAAAAAAAAAAAAAGCTGCCTAGCTCTGTAACTCTTTCGTGGCTTTGTAATTGTTTTCTTGACCTTTGTAACCGCAAAAGCATAACCGAACATTTAGGATACTCAGCTTCGTGGTCATTAATGTAGCCCGATGATCTCACCTTGCTAACTCATCAGAAAAACTGCCAGGCTGTCCTGTGCCATCTTTGTAAACCCTGCCAGACGCTCACTGCTTGGCTGGCCGTTGGTGAAAGTTGTTCCAGCCTGGACCACTACTGTTCACTAAAGCTGTTCACTACCTCTTGACTCCCTTAGGTGTCCTTCCTTTCCCAGGATCAATTTTGCCACATCGCCAGAACAAAGTTTTCTTTTATTGTCGTCTGGGCACTTATCCTGAGCTTCCCAAAATAGAGGTAACGCCACACAAAAGAAGCCTCTCTCACTTTCCTCAGGGACCATCTTTGAATGGTCCATTTGCTTCTGGCTCCAGTGTTTTTCATTTGAGCAGCCAGTGGTAGAAACATGAGGATCTAGACTCGGGCCAGAGCAACAGCTTTAAGACTGTTGGCAGGAGACCAGCTTTTCGCTACGTGAACCTCCTTAGAGGGCCTGCTTGAATGTTTCCTTAAAGCAGCTGGCTTCCTGCACAGCTCATGACCCAAAAGATTGAAAGCCATATCTTTATGACCTAGCCTTAGAAGCCACAACATGAGCCAGGTATGGTGGCTCATGCTTGTAATCCCAGCACTCAGGAGGCTGAAGCAGGAGGATGGCCACAAGTTCAAGACCAACCCTGAACTACATGGCAAGACCCTGTCTCAAAAAACCAGAAGAAAGGTTTCCTACATGGTGCGATGAATGTTTCAATTTAAAAATTTATTATAATAGGCATGTGGCTATTGACCCTGCTCGAAACACTGCCTGTTCCTGCAAACACATTCCATCATTCTTGCCATTTCCTGAGGCAATTTCAGAAGTCCTTTTCCATGAGTATCTTTAGTTGTGCTGTTGTGGCCACCTCAATATCCTGATCAATTCAAAATGTTCAAAGCGATCGTCTTCGTTCACCAGATGTGGCATTGTGCAACTTTTGGCTCGTCCCTAAAATCAAAATGACCATGCAAGATCAATGTTTTGGATCCATTCAGGAACTTGAGGTATCCATGACATCCCAACTGAAGACACTCAGAGAAAAGGACTTCCAGAGCTGCTTCAGAAAGTGGTCAGAACAAAGGGCTGTGTTCAAAGCAAGAAGGGAGGTCTCGGGGATCAATGGTAGTGTACTGTTAATAAATTACTTAAAATCTAAGCACTGGGCCAGAGATTTAGCTCAGCGGCACATATGTCTACGTGGCAAGCACAAGGTTGTGAGTTCAGTCCATGGTACAAAAAAAAATAGAATCAGCATTAACCACAGTTTTTTTGTTTATCACACTTGATGGTCATTGCTCTGGCATATTCCGTTGCTTCCAAACCAACTGTGAAGTGTGGGAAGGTGAACCCAAAGGCATGAATAGCAACAGGAGGGATCAGTGGGAAGTGTCCTGCAGGCTGGCTGTCACAGTCAACTTAGCTGAGGGAGAGAATATCATTGGCTTCAGTCCTGGAGACTACCACTGTCCAGAGTCCTTGTGAATGGAGGTATCTCCCGGTAGGTGGCAGCACTCCCCAGTTCTTGAGCATTGGTCACCTTTGCAGTAGTAGATAATCTTAAGTGCTAGACATTTAGAGAAAAAAAATCTGTTCCTGCCACGCAGAGTTCACAGTTCTGCCAATCAACTCTTGGAGTAGATTGTACAAAGTGTCTCTGATACAAGCACAGACCTGAGGACTAGTGTTGGGAGCCATTGCAGCTGGAGGTTGATCATATGTATGGGACTAAAGCAAGGCCAGCCCAGAAAAAACAGACCAAAGCAACCTGTTTGCTTGATTTGCAAGTTATTCCAGCACCAGGAAGGCAAGGGGCCCAGGCCTGCTAGGCAGAGGGGCTGAAATTGACCTTCTTTGCAGGAGATAAGCAGCTCCTTTCCTCCCATCAGGAGGACAAGGACTCCCCCTGACCCCAACTTTGTCCCTTCTGTACTTTTCTCACCCTCTCTCTGGTCCTTAACCCCAAGAACTTCAGGACCCCCACTGGGTCACGGCATGTGGTGCCAGAACATGGACAGGGTAAGAGATTGAGGGCGAGGGGACACTTTCCACGTGCACGCACGTAGGGGGAGAGGTGCACTGGTACAGGTCAGTGGTCATCACTGGAGGGTATGACATTGGCTTCATCAGGTGTAAAGAGTGAGGCGTTGAAACTCCGTTACTCTCCAGGGCCAGTTATAAACGGGCCTGAGGGAAACCCCTTCCCCTGAAAAGAAAATAGAAAAGAGGTATATTGATTATAACAGCTGTCTAACTAAGGGACAAACTCACCAAAAGAATCACAAATGTGTAAGGGCCTGTTTGTTGCATGCTTGATTCCAGTATTTACATTCCTTCTGTGATCTGGGGGAGTCAGGGTCTTAATAATCTTAAGCTTCTTGAGACAACCACAGTGGAACTGGCTCCAGGCACTGCTTCAGAGTCAGGTCCTGGGCAGGGAAAAGATGGCAGCACGACCCCCACCCTGATAACCCTAACTGAGCCACTCACTGTCCATTCAGCAAAACCTTCTGTCCAAAGTGTAGACGACGGTATCACTGGGCCACTCGATGTAAATCCAGAACTTTCAGCAGGGCCTGCGGCAGCCCTGCCACAGGGTAGGGGGGTGATGGCTCAGACTGCTCCCCGGGATGGCCCAGCCCTCCTTGGCCCGGCAGGCTCCTAGTGGTTGGGGGTGATGTGCTCCTGATTCGTGGTTTGCTGATTCCTGTTTACAAAGTGCTCTTACAAAAGACAATTTCAAATAACCAATATGACAGCTAAACTTTACAACTTGTAAAAATTCAACATTTGGCTTTCACAGCTGATAACAGGCTTGCTCCTGCATATCACTGTCTCACTATGGCTTTGTATGGGTCTTGATATCTGGTAACATAAATTCTCAAACTCCATTGTTTTTCAAAATTGTTTACTACAGAGGTACTTGTTTCAAATTCGAGATTCATGTAACTCGAAGTTTATTTAGGTCCCTCCTGCTTTCTTAAGTCAATTTGAGTTGTCAATACATCGACACTACAGAGCTTGCGAAATTTCTTGGGAGGAAACTGAAAAACAGCTTAGAGTAGGACTAGGGAAAAAGCAAACCAACACAAATGAGCTGGCCCTCTACAGATTTTAAAAGGTTATTAACAGGGAGAAACTGCTGCTTTCTGCTCCTCTCACTACTTCTCACGCGCCCCCAGGCAGGGGAGGGCACCAAAGCCTCCGCTGAGCCTGGAGTTTGGCCCACACAGAGAAGGTAAAGAAACAATGCTTGTTTCAGCTGCAAGGAGAAATCAGGGCTATGGTTCAATCTACTCAAAACACAGTTTGAATCACCCTAGATTATTGTATCGCTCAATTGGTTATTCTTCCCTTGACAAAAACTGGAAAATCTGTAAATAAAGAAAGGTTACCTAAGGATTCTGGATCTTCTGATACTTTAATATTAGAGAGGTGGGACACAGCTCTGGCCTGCCTGAGCCACCCTGGTTTTTCCCATCACCTGTGCACTCGCTTTATGAATCAAAAGTTTACACTGCCCTGGTGCTCAGACCCCAACAACAGCGGGGCCTCCAGCCCAGAGCGGGAGCACCGCCTGCATGTCGCAGGAGAGCCCAAGGTACCTAAATACAAAACGCAGTTTCCGTTTTCTCTATACCTCACCACAGCGACTCCTTATAATCCTCTGGTCTAAAAATGATTAAATGTGCTCACAATTTAAATTTCAAAAAACAAAAGGGAGAGCTCACCTCATCATAGATTTCACTCGGCAGTGCATACCATTTAAAATATTTAAATTCTAATACAGACATAACTACCGCAGCAGAAAGGTAATGCAATTAAATAAAGGCTAAAAGGAGTCCATTGGAGAGATCTCCACACCGGACAATAAAAACACCCAGTCCAGGACTAATGTGGGGTCGAGGGTGTGCTTGTGTTTTTCAGGAAAAGCCAAATGACCTATCTGGGTGCCAGTGAGTGCTGTCCAGCTAAACTATGGGCCCAAACCCAGGAAAGGAGTTGACCCTACCTCTCAAGAAGCTGATCTCAGTCCTGTGACAGTGGTGCCTTGGAGACCATGCCATAACCGTAGAAAAGGGTGGAGCTAGAACCAACCTTAATTAACCCAGGATGGCCAGGAGACGGTAACCAAAAATAAAAAGGTCCAAGTAGTGATAGAAATGCATGCTAAGTCCTATGACAAAAATATGCTAATTATAAGTAAGATTTTGTCTTTTTTAAATTATTTGATAAGCAATCTCTGCTAATTGACCTACAGCAAATCTGACTACTCTA